CAAACTAATAAAAAAGAACAAGAATCAAATCATTCCAATCCTATACAACCTTTCCTTTCAAAGTTTACAGATGAAAAAATATCCCTTTTAGATGGGGGGACCATGAATAACAAAAGTCCCGAATTTCCCGAGAAAGAAATATCTGATATATTAGAAAAAGAACTACCTCAGACGAGTAATGTAAAAATCGAACATGAAATTATGGAAACAGATTCCAGTGCTCACAGTGAAGAACAAAAGCAATCCAAAAACTCTAACAATAGTAATAAAAATGAATCAAAAGTATCTGACAAAAAAGATCAAGTATCATCTAGGAATGTAGCCGTGACAAAAGATAACAAAAAAGCACCTAATTCCAAAGAAGAATTATATTCTGTTGATCTCACACCAAGGTTAGAATTATTCGTGGATGCTATCCCGAAGTTATTAGCTGAGAAGTCGACAGAAAATGCAACGCAACGAAGTGAAGAACCCACAGAAGAACCAAAACTAATCGCACATAAAACAATCTCAAGTTCTGAAATTAAATCTGGTATTAATGTCCCAACATCTCAACGTAGCAATATAGAACGTAAATCCATTCATTCAGCTAGCGCGTCGAATAATAAAACGCAAAAGAGAGACTTAAAGTTTTCTAAGTCTAAAAGTTATGATCAGATTTGTAAACCATCGTCATTCAGAACGTCTGTCGAAAATTTGAGAGTAAGTAAACCTTCGGATACTGCAAAGAAATCTAACACTTTGATCAGGCGATCGCCAACGTTGAAGCCAAAATTACAACCTACGGTTAAGCCAATCACGAAAACTACTCCGAAACCAAAAGTGTCATCAAATCCAAGGAAAAATTCCGTTAAGACTGGTTCTAATCTCACATTGTCTTCCACGTGTAAATTGTACCAAGCTAAATCACCAGAAACTTACGCAAGGACTATGATGGCTGGTGGTGACACGAAACAAAATTTAACAAAAACGAATTGGGAAATATTGTGTCGCGAAGAAAGACACAAGAATGGTCTTTTGAAGCAACAGCTAGAGTCAGAAGTGAAAATGTACAAGAGTCAAATCGACAGGATGCGTATATCCTTCGAGGAAGAACTGTTTGCACTAAAGAAACAAAACATCATTTTAAAAGCGAAAGTAGATGAGCTTTCCTTAAATGAGAAACGACCGGAATCTCAGCCAAAGAAAGATACGAAAATTATGCTTCTAGAAAAAGAATTAGAGAAACAAGAGAATCTGATTCGGGCCTATGAAACAGAAAATAAGAAGTTGATGCAAGAAACGAAGAGAATGCAAGAGGAAATGAAGCAATTGCAGAAACAGAAAAGCACAGCATTAGAATCAGGTAAAATGCAGGAACTTGCAGATAAAATTAAGGATCTCGAGGAAGAGGCCTTGAAACTCAATCTCGAAGTTTCCGACCTTCGAGAGAAAAACGCAGACTGTGCTTTGAAGAATGAGGATTTATCTCAACAAAATAGCCTTTTGAATGATGAATTGGTGATGTTTAAGGAACAGTTGAGGACAAAGAATGATTTTATCACGGATCGATTGCAAGCAATGACCACGACAGAGCTGCAATTAAAGAAGCAAATAGAAGATTTGACGATAAAACTTGGCTCTAAGACGGAGCAATTACGAATAGTAAAACTGGAGCTCGATAAGATTCAACAGAACGTGCTCCCACTGGAGAAAGAGCTGCTAGAATTAAGAGTCAAAGAGGGCAATTTACTGGAGAAGCTGCAAGTATCTAAGAGTCATGTGGAACGTGAAAAACAATTAACACAGAAACTGAAGGATCAAGTGATTCTCGATAGCAAGAAGATTACGGACTTGAATAGACAAGTTCGTGAAATGGAGAGGATACTGAAAAGGAAGAATCCTGATTCAGTATCTGCTCTTATATTAACTGCGAATTCCGAGCAGGAGAAGGTTGGCGCAGAAAAAGTGAAGCTATTAGAAGATCGAATCTTGAGTTTGGAAAATGAAATCAAAGCGAAAGATGATTTGGCACAACAGAAAGTGATTGAATTCCAAAAGAAGTTTTCGGATATGAAGGAGAAGTATACCACTCAGATAATTGAATTGGAAAGGAAATTGCTGGAGGCGAACGTGAAGGATCGTAAGATATACAATGATATGTTTACGCAGACAGCATCAAAACCCGTAGAGAACAAAAGTGTAGAGACAATTAGGAAGGAGGAGAGGACAGGGTCGTTTGAAAAAGAAGAGAAGAAAGATCTTCCAAAACCGTCTTTGAAAGCCACTTTAAAATCTCAGAACTCCAAAGAGGATGCTCATCTTATGGCCACGATACGTGGGTTGAAACTAGAGCTCGCGAACAAAGATAAAGCGATGTCGAAGATCACGAAAGAATTTCAAGATTTACAAAAGACGAACATAAGACTGCAGAAGGAGAGAGAAAAATTGTTGAATGATAGAAGATCTGTGAAGACTATGAACTTCGAGAGGAATCGCGGTATGGTGTCCTCGGATTCGAAATTACTGACTTTAAAGTCTATCGAGGGAAACGACCAGAACTCGAACGTCTACCAAAACGGACATGTTTCTGACACGAATACTCAACGGCTGTCCGCTTCCGTACAAAAGCTTTATGATCCTATGCAGTACACTGAGAATGGAGATACTAATTTGATGAAGAGATTGACTGACGAGAATGATATTCTAAAGGAAGAACTGAGCAAGATGAATAAGGACTTCATGGCTTTAAAAAACAAACGACTTCACGACTTGAACCTCTTGCAAGAGGAACATGAACGTGAAATGGCCACTTTGCTGAAGGAGTATAGCGTGAAATTCGGAGATTCTAAAGTGGTAAAGTTACAGGTTCGTAGTATTACGTGCAGTGTTTATTTCAATTTTTTTATTTATTTATTAATAGACTGTGGATATTTGTGTAAGTTTATACTTTTATAAACTTAACTGAAGAAGTGGAATTTGAATAGAGATTTAATCTACATTTTTCTTTTTTTCATTACTTCCATGATCGTTCTATACATTTTTAAATTTGCCATAAATGTATAAAAGTCTACAGTCTATTTATTAGATTAGCGTTATAAAGTGTTTGCACGTAGTACTCTTATTATCTGTATATAATCAATTTTATTAAGATTTTATTTTCATTAATAGGGTCAGATAAACACTCAAGTAGCTGTGATATCTCATTTGAAGCAGCAAATTGAGAAGTTAAGAGACTATAAGGAACAGGTAGTTGTTCTGAAGGCTGAACGAGATCACTTGGAGAATAAAGTGAAAACGTTGAACGAAAAAGTGAAGTATTTATCAACACCGGTATGTAATAAATAAAAGATACGTTTTAATACATTAATCTTGCGTATCTGTTTGTAATCATTCTATCAATTCTTTTAGAGCACAGAACAGCTACAGTTGTTGCAGGACAAGATAACAATTCTTCAACAACGACACGAAAGCCGTGAAATGACGTTGCAGAGTTTAGTGCGCGATTTGCTAAGAAATAGAACCCAGTGTAAGGATTGTAAAAACGAGAAGGGTAAAAATCGACAATTGTGCTATTTTCGACAGGAGCTTGATCACATTCTTGGAATGCTTCAGGAGATAGCTAACGTTCATTGATTCTAGTTCAACTAGATTAGGTATGCGTGTAAAGTGGTGCTCACGAGATGTCAAGAAATCGATAGATTGCAATTTCTTGATTCGATATCGGGCATTGTGATAATTCGTATCTTCGAGTGTACTGAAACGAATCTTAGATTTTTGCTAGAAGAAATTATCATATTGGTAGGTACTTTATACATGTGTAAGAGGAAGCACAGTCAAAAATGATTTGATCGATATTTTTCATCGATCTTGCCATGAAAGCGACACGATTAGTTGTTCACAGTCTGTTTAGTCAGTTTCTTATTATAAGATGGATATTCAATGAAATCATATCGATCCTGGGAAAGTTCGCGCATAATGATCGACTGGGATCACTGCCAAAGTTATAAAAAAAAAAAAAAAATGAACAAATGACGATGTTACCGTTTTATCGTAACTTTTCGTCGACATTCTTTTTTGCCACTGTGCATGCAATATACGCATGGACAACGTCCATAGTTGAAGTAATAAAACTAATAGTCAAATATCAAATGAAAACATAGAAATATTTTGATCTATGTATATTTACTAAGAGCAGACTTTTTATTTATCTAATAACGTAGGTTTAAAAATTGTTGGAAAAGAACTTGACTGCTTCCAATTCGGAACTAGCTTTAGCCTTGTACTTATTGTCGTTTTGGCAAACGGTAGCCCATACAAATATAGGGGAAGCATCTTGAAAAAAAAAAAAAAAACGAGAGATCTCTTCCGAAGTTGCATAGGAGTTAATTTTTTACATGAGGCTTTTTCAGAATATGCTAAACATCGTATTGACTTGTTCGAATATTTATTTCCTATTTATATTCATTCATTCTTCGCCATCAACGAATCCATCTATAATCGAGTCGTCCAGTTGTACGATACATATATTTATATACACTTTAGAAACATTCATTAAACATTTTAGCAATCACACGTCTTTATACTCTCACGACGAATGAAGCACATGCATATCGCACAAATTCGACGTGTCCTAGATATAATAATATTTAAAACTTTGTTACAGAATGATTGTAGAAGATAATTCTTTGTTTTCAGGTTGTACCTGTTTTTATCAAATCATTATAATCACACAGAATATAGTTACTTCTTCAAGACTGGATATATGTCAAAATCACTGCATTTTTACTTACTTTTTAATTACTTTTAAGCCAAACAGCCATAATGTACAAACCATGAAATGATGACTTTAATAAATTACTTCTCTTCTCTTTGACCATCTAGCTTAACATGTCTTTAATATGATGTATGTTTATGCTATCATATTCGTTTATAGTATGATTATCATCATCATTATCATGATTGTCATTTCTGTGATGGAAGAATTATTTCAGGAAAAGACTTGTAGTGAGTATACAGTATTTGATTTTAATTTGAACAATTTATTCGGATAAAATATATCTTTTTAAATACATGCAATACATTTCTATCTCTATGCAGGATACATTTATCAGCTGTACACTAATATACAGATTCTCATTAAGTACAATGCATAGCTCTATAATGCAAGAAAATATTACACAAGGACAACGACTAAAAGCAGGCCTTGGAAGTAGCGAATCGTTGTTTTATTCGTTGGATAAGAATCCTACCATATAGTAAACTGTGGTGCCTGTCCTACGAAGTTCCTGTAACAAATGGTCAGATTTCATTAATTTTATTAATTAATCAATATTTTTAATTTTACTACGGATACAAATGGCACAAGTAAATAGTTGCTTACCTAATAAAAGAACGTTTGCCATAGAAAATAGATAATCCATACATTGTACAAAGTCCAATTATGAGTGCCTGACGAATCGTTTCAAATGTCAGAGTGTTTAGATTCATGGAGTTCTCTCGTTTCAGGAAGTTTGCGGTACCCAAAATTTTCATCCTGGGTATAAAATCATTGCTGTGAGTCAGACCTTTCTCTCGTACTGCTAATGTAGGTGCATTAACGGGGATTCTAAAATTGCGTTGTTGAGAGCGTTGTCCTCGGAGGAAAGTTGTATCTTCTATTGGTTGTCTTCGAGAACGAGAATCTCTATCTACAGAACGAATATGCTCCCTTTCTGCAGAGCGTGATCGTCTGATATCGTTTGCAAATTTATCTCGAATTCTTTCAGCGAATCGTTGTTCCTTTTGGCTAGATCGAATATTATTCGCAAGACGAGTAAGCGTAGCGCCAATTCGTTGTGATCTAGTGTCGAATCGTCTTAAAGTTAAGTCTTGTCGATCAATCCTTTGCTCTGGCTTTGCGAGACGACGTTCTGTGAGTTGGCGGTCAGCTCCTCGTTGCGCAAATCGACGATCAGCTCTCTGTTCTATGATTAATCGGTTAGCTCTTTTTTCCATGAGTTTGCGATCAGTTCTGGCTTCTTCACGGCTTCGAGATTCGACAAATATGGATCGTTTTCCCATAAGTCGTCGATCAGTCCTTTGCTCTGTAAGTCTGCTGCTATCGGCCCTTTGTTCAACAAATCGATGGTTAATTCTCTGCTCTATAAGATTGCGATCAGTTCTGGTTTCTTTGCGGGCTCGAGATTCGTTAGATGTGAATCGTTTTTCCAAGAGTCGTCGATCAGTCCTTTGTTCCATAAGTCTGCGATCAGTTCTGGCTTCTTCGCGAGTTCGAGATTCGACAGATGTGGATCGTCTTTCCATAAGTTTGCGACTATTTCTGGCTTCTTCGCGAGTTCGAGATTCGATAGGTGAGGATCGTCTTTCCATGAGTTGTCGGTCAGCTCTTTGTTCTATGAATTGTTGATTAGTTCTTCGTTCCATCAGTCGACGATCAACTCTTTGTTCCATAAGTCGTCGTTCAGCCCGTTGGTCCAACAGACGACGATCAGTCCTTCGTTCATTAAGTCTACGATCACTTTCTTCAGAGAGTCTACGATCTATATTTTGATGTACGATACGATCAATTTTTCGTTCCTTAAGTCGACGATCAGCTCTCTGTTCCATAAGACGTCGGTCAATCCTTTGTTCTATAGCTCGACGATCAGCTCTCTGTTCCACAACTCGACGATTCTCTTTCTGTCCCATAAATCTACGATCAGCTCTATCTTCACGATTTCGAGATTCAACAGATGTGGATCGCCTTTCCATTAGTCGCCGGTTAGTTTTTTGCTCGGTGAGTCTACGATCAGTCTTAATCTCTTCGCGATTTCGAAAATCAACAGACCGCCTTTCTGAATTTCTCCTAGAATCTACAAGTGACCGATGTTCTGACGTTCGATCGTTAGACAAATCCCTAACTCGTCGTTCCTTTAAATCATTCCTAGTAATTTCAGATGTCCGGACGAGTCGAGATTCACGTCGTTCACGAGCCGGGTTCTCCAAGTTATCTGTAGTACGTCTTAGCGATCTAATGGGAGAATTTCGACGATCGTTTGCCCTGGCATCCATATGACGATCTAAGCGGCTAATTCTTTGCCGTTCATTAGTTACGTCTCGTTGTTCCAATCTAGTAAGAGATCTGCGGTCTTGGTCCAATCTGGAATCGCGTCTGATTGTCATCTGCATACGATTACGTGTATCTACGTTCCTCAAAGATCGTTCGTTCCTTTCTCGACGAAAGTTGATAGAAGCAAGTGATTCTGTGGATCGTACAAGATTATGTTCTCGATCATTTACTCTTCTGTTTACTTCGCGGCGTTTATCTGAGTCAGTAGACCTTTTGAGCAATCTCCGTTCTACAAATTCCTCTGTAATCTTCGAATTGAGTGATCGAGAAAGTCGATTCGCAGGATCGGACATACGTCTTGTACGATCTTGGATTCTGTATTCGGTGTTCGTTCCCTGCCTGCTTGATCTCTCCATGCTCCTAAAGTCAACTCGAGTTTGAGATCGAGCCATAGAGACGCGATCTAAACTTCGAGATCGAGACATTCTGAGATCAGTTGGTATCAGGGATGTTCTGGAGTCTCTAGTTTCTCTGGTCGTCTTCGAAATCCTGGTCTGGTCTTGCTCGAAAGTCAAGCAAGAAGGCATCTTGGTGAAAGGGTTCAAATTTGGGCAGGCATCCACTCTGCGAAGAAGACAATGGTTGTAATAGTGTATTAGAATTCTAATAACCTGGATTTCAAATCCTGTAATCTTAATAAATTAAATTTAGATTCGAAAATTCTAATAAGTTAAACCCTTTGCATAAGCTAAATTCTAAATTCTAAATTTGTAATAAGCTCAATTTCAAATTGCAAAATTCTAGATTTTAAGGTTCCAAGAAGTTAAAATTTTACTCGTGAGGAGCCTGATGTTTCAATTCAGGCCCTGCCAGACTTCCTGCTCGGCCTTCCTTATCCCTGGAGACCAACCCTAGTGTCAGGCAGGCGAGGGATACCACCAAGAGGCCGACATACTGCCAAGCCCGTACTGGCAATGCAACGTATCTTGTACGTCGCATCCTTAACACCGAGAAAAAAAAAAAAATGTTTTTAATTTTCAAAAAGTTCATGCCATCATATATATATTTCTAAAATTCTATATTTTTACAATTTTCCTTAGATGTTACTTACCTTACTACTGTTTTTGTGCTAGCAACTGTTTGCTCGTACGAAGCAAGATATGCGGAAATTTCTTCCTTGGAGGAGGATTCCTAGTGTTCTTCCTTGAAGCTCCGGGGAGTTGCTGACGCTCTGTGTCCGAAGGAGCCGAGCTTTTATACCCGTAGAAATCCACCATAATTCGATACCCGTTCAATTCAGTGCTTATCAGCACCGACCACATGGGACCTTATATCTCGATAGGTGAAAATCACCGTGAATGAAATCGGGTCGAGAACTATTGCAAACGCCTCCGTAATTGGTTAACCATCTAGAAAATTGCAAGCCCGGACACCTGTGTGGCAGCTGATATATCGGTTACCCGGTTGCCTCGTGGCTGAGCTTCAAAGCCTCGCTAGATTCATGAATTATCTGGACTTTTCCGTACTCTGCAAGTGAAATGCAGCTAGGCTAACAAGAGAAGCTCGGCAATTTGAAAGTTCAATATTATTTGAAATTTAACAGGAATTTAGCTATTTTCACAAAATTCTTATAATATATTTCTTTTTTAATTTTCCGTCGTCAATTGATATCGTCAATATTAATTTTAGGGAGAGAAAATTTGTAATAATATTTAGCAAATATAGTTTTTACAGACTGGTTTATTTTTTATTTTACAAATCTCATATAAAATACAGGAGAGGCTTGTAGCGCAGATACCTTATAAATATGTAGATGATATATTTACATTACATTATATTATACATATATATTATATTATATTTCTATATATAAATTGGACCGTCAAAATTTTTCCAAAATCTTGCCGTCTCCAAAATGGGAGAAATTGTCCATGAATTATTCTGTTTCATCTGATTTCGCTCATTTTTAGCCTGTTTCGAACAGTTTCTCGTACACAAGACGAATAAGATAGATTGATTTCATTTGGATTGTTAATGCACAATCAGTTAATCATAATTTTAGGAAACAATGATCGTTGCGATCAGAATCGTGAGAATTGGAATGTTGTTGAAGTACAAATTTCTCGATGCACCTGATAGCGTTGCTATTTCGCTACATGTCGTTTCGTTCGTTTCTGGCAGTGCTGTGAAATTTGGGAACGTTTGTATATCTGATGGCTGTAAAGAAAAAGTCAATCGATAATTCTAAAATATGTGTTATGATCGACGAAGGTATGTCAATTCTTTAAGAACTGTAAATATGTTTTTTATTAATTTAATTAAAATCTAACATACCAAAGCAAGTTTATCGTCTCTTTTCCTGCAGAAGGTCATATGTCTGCCATGATATAAACTTCGTTCGATGGATCTAGCAAGGAGTTCTTCGGTCCAAGGTAATGCCAGCATATGTTCAGCCAAAGTTCGTCCTATTGGAAATAATAATTATTAATATAATTATATAAAGGTGAAACTTGTCTTGAAATTAGTTTCCCAGTAATAGGCGTTTGTATTATTTACCTCTGAACTCTTCAGGTTCCTCAATGATCAATCGAGAGAAAACATTATCATTATCGTTTTCTACCGTGTAATCTTTCATGGCCATCAATGCAGATTTTGCCTCTCTTATAAGTTTCTCATCTATTTCTTCGCTGAGTCTTGTAGCAGGGTAGATAGGAAGTTGTTGTTGACCAGTGGAAGAAATTGTCACAGCATCCGTTCTATAAGAACCAAGAATAACAGGTAAGATAAATAGATACATCGTACATACTTATTTATAATGTTGTTGCCACATTTTTTACTTACCTAGTTGTTAGAAAAAGTTTTTCTAGATGGTCCATAGTAACACCTTTGAAGCTGTATACGCCAAGTGTTTTGAACAGATGTTTTATCGGCGTCATACTGTAACAAGCTGCAAGTGGCGTTCTCGGATAATGTACCACGAAGGCCAGACACATTTCCTGAGATGCTGCGTATCCTCCCAAAGTGGGTTTCGTCCTGTCTAGAGTACCATAAACACATTCAGCCACCAATTCGTCTCCTGGAAGGACTTTCACTTCCTTCTCCAGAGTATGAGATTGTTGATAGTCAAAATCAAAGTGATTGTCCTCGACTATTCTGGGTAATTCTTTGCCTTGGCGAATATGTTTCAGGCTTAGACGACGACCGGCCAAGTGGGAATGCAAGACTACTGAAATTATGTTTACACCACCTTTAGGGAACATCTGTAAGAATAATTCACAGTTAATGAACGAACGATAGTGTTTACATACATTTGCTAAAAATTTAAAGATGAACAAAGTAGAATGAAACGTAATAAATATAAAACAGATTTCTATTTAAGTTTCTTTTGGTTAAAAATATGAATATGCATGGACATCCCTGATCTAATTTATGATTATCAAAAGAATGCCATTTACGTACAGTATTCGTACAATGAGGAGTGCAGTAACCTGCCGTGGCGTATTCCTTTTGTTTAGGAGGAATCAGGTGAAGAGGACTCACGGCGACCCCAGCAACGAGAATCCCCGCTTCCTGTGGACGAAGTTTCGGAGTCAAGTGAAGACGTACTCCGCTGCTGTCTACCACCTTCTTCATACCCGGATTATTATAATGCACTTCCAGCATGTAATAAGAACCTTCAGGATGTTCCGCGATGGGAAAACCTACGTGTTCCGGAAGCCATTCACCTGTAAAATGTATCGTATTGTAATGGGAAAAATTGACGACCTTCCATTATATGTACTGTTTATTCTTGAATGTGTGAATAATTGAAATTCATATTTCGCGATTTTTCTTTCAGTCTCGGTTTACCTGTACTGCCGCGTGCCCAGGCCAGCACCGGCTGCAAGCAAGATTCCCACTCCCGTGGCATTGTCGGACTGTAACAGGGAGCTCCAACGATTCTCGCATGTTGCCCTAAGATCGGTAAAGTTGAGGCGCATTCGTACAATATAATATGATGAACCAAGTCTTCGTTTTGCTTTTCCACGAGTGGCGTATACTGAAACATCAATCAATTTTCACTCAACGTTTCAACATATCGTTAATCGCTATGAATTCTAAGAAGCAAAGAAATCGCGTTGCGAGGCAGTTTCGGAATACTAGATTGAACCGCGTGTTCCTCTCCTGAGAAATCTCCTCAAGCATTCGAAAGATCCCCATTGACAATCGAGGAACGTTTCGGCCACGGAATGACATCATTCCGAAACCCTTCTTTATTCTAATGACGTCCGTCGACACAGTGCCATGTCCGGCATGGATGACCGTGATTCGTGGAGCACATACGAATCAGGCCCAACCTTATGGCATTCCTCCGTGCTCTCACAAAACTTATTCCAGAACGTGTATCAAAATGAAAATATCTATTTTGATAAATTTCGACAAACTTTGATCACTCACCCCGATCATATGGTGTTTCTCCTTATGAGGCGCTTTGAAAATCTTGCACCAGTAGGTAGTGTCTACATTGTCTGAAACTGGAGGCTGATTGGATAAAAGAAAGAAATAGAATTAATCATAATATATATATATATATATATATATATATATATATATATATATATATATATATATATATATATATATATATATATACAATTTCTTGTTATAGGAAAAAGTTCGAGATAAAATTACATTATTTCATACGGAGGTACGTTTTTTTTAAATTTTTTATATTTTAATGTTATTAATAGTTTTTAGGATGAAACCCCATATTTCTTATTTAAGCACCAAGTCTGGCTGGTAGACTGTGCAACCTTACAAATTAAAAAATTATTTCTAAGTTCTACTTACTTGATTCAATTTTACGTCCCAGTGTTTGATGTCCTGAGTATATCGAGGAGGTGCGTGAGGAGCAGGTGTCTTGAGTCTTAAAGCTCTACCACCACGTTTGTCACCAGGCCAAATAGCAGCATTTAATTCAGGGTCACTCGAATGAAGCGTCCACAGGACTCGAATCGTGTCTCCCTGCGATAGCAAGCGAGAATTACTTTTTTCTAATGACCCTCTTCTGGTTAGGATTGTTCGAGATGTTCGATATAGGAAATAGGTTCGTTAAAAAGTATTTTAATGAGCTGGATGCCACGCTGGTTAGACCCACTGTGGATCGAGAATGGGAATTACCAAAGAGACGCATGAGGGTTGTGGACGGCATGCTAAACACCTAAATATCGCTGCGGGAATTCGGCGTGGCGGGGTCTTAGGGCCTCTTAAAGTCGCAGGCTCCCCTCGTGCCGAGCATAAATCGAAAAAGAGAGGTGGTTCTCTCCGCGAATTCTACCAGCGTTTCTGTCTCTAGGTTGTAAATCTTCTCGGCTATTGCCAGTTCCCAGACTCCGTCAGGTGGAATCGAATATCGGACAATTTGTTTTCCGGTGACTTCTAATTACTCCAAGTCGAGTTACGAGGCAACTTGATCCTTTATCTCGAACTTTATTAGCATACAAACTAGCATTCAAAATGATCTGAACTCTTAGCTGTCTTTGACTTTCTTGACAAACTTGTAAATAGATAGCGTAACTTTGATCGAAGGAAGGATAAAAAAAAAGAACAAAGACGAAGACAAATATGAATCTTTGGTTCAATTTGATCACAGTATTTAAATATTTATGAACGTTAGTGATTTTTCGAATGAAAGAAGGACAAAACCGGGACGACAAGCAGCATAAAAGTATATAGTAATTCAAAGAAATCGAAAAATTTAAATAAAGGAAAAGTCTCTAATATTATTCTTTATGCTTCCAGCCTTACCGTAAGCCGATGATCCTGAGGATCGCAGGTCTGCCAGTTTCGCGAGAAGATTACGCTCGTGTGGGTTTCGTTTTGCGAACCTCCCAGCACTTTGACATCCTGAGACGTGTCCGTGACCAGAGCCGCCTCTGGATCCTCGATTCCATGCGAGTCCTAAAAAACGAAAAGAGACAAGTGGAATCATAAACTGGGTGAACGTACGTGAGATGTGTGTTCAGCGGACCCGAAACTGGTCGATTCGCCGCTGAAACGAGATCGGGAAGTTTATCAGGTCAGGTGAGCGCCAGGTGTTTATATTCGACGGCGAACCAAGACTTTTTGTCAGACGCAATTCATTTCTCTTTACCTTCTGCACTTTCTCCTTTACACTTCGGAGAGGGTGTTCGAAACATGTCACGTGTCAAATCGGACTGACTTTACGCAGAGATTCATTCTTTGACATACATATGAGACTTTCAGAAGGTATATTGATTAACATCACTTGATTAATAGAGAAAAATGACGCCACAAACCTCGTAGTAAACGAACTTATAGGAATAAATCATCTATTTGTTAAAAATTGAAAATTAATTTTATTAACGCCATTTGTAAAAAAATGAAGAGTTGATCAGTTACAGCTTCCAAAATTTTATTGAACTCCTCAACCTAATCAATTTTGCGATTAGAAACATGATAATAATGTTTCAGTGGCAGCAATGATAGCAGTGGCAGTGATAGCAATTTTTTTTTATTTTCCGAGATCGATATTAACGATATCCAGCAAAATATCGATATTAACGATATATCCTGAGGCGTCCTGCATGAGGGAAAGAAAAAGACCGCCAGGCGTGACGCTGACAATCAGAAGGGAGGCCGCAGGCGTTTGGGTCCGTTGGATTCCGATTATGGTTGGGCGCTAAAGTTTATAAGAGGCCGAAGGGAAGTCCCCTTCCTGCTTTTAATGAATCGAAATAATTGGTCGAGCATCGTCATGCTTGTTGCGTATTTTGTAATGAACACGTGGAAAGAGGAAACGGTAATAAAGCGGCATGTATGTCGCGAAAAAAGAAGCCACGTGAAGAATTGTAACGAATAGAGAAACAGATCAGGTTGTCAGACTGACAATCTCGAAGGTACTAAATTGTAAAAGCTACAGCGATATGATACTATTCGTGTTTTATACGAAAGATCGTGAAATTTTGTTAGTTTGGTTTTGTCACGATTGATAAGGTTTGTAAATTTGAAATTGCAAGACGAGCGATCACAAAGATATTTTCGCAGTCAATTATCCATGATAGATGTTCAAATAATACTTTTGTGAGCTATAGTGTTTGTAAAGTAAATGTAAGGAAGCGATGAAGATTTCATTGTCGCGTAAAGAAACGAATCGCTTTCAGTGAGAATACCAACGAGAGTTTATCGGCGAGGAATCGTGAATTACAACGCGGATAAATATGCGTTTACCGATTTCCGATTTGCGTTTAATTATCGGCTGTGATTCGCCATTGGAATGGAGTATGCGTTCTCATGAGATTTGCAAGGATTTTCTCATGGCATCCGGATATTCTCATCGTCTGACTAATTAGCACGTCCGTGGCATTGCTGGTTGAGTGATTAAAAAACTTCGAGATTCTACCGATTCAATAGATCGACTCATCGTTGCAACATTTTAATTGCGGTAATTTATACGTCATGCCAATGAACAGGGAAAGCATCTTTTTTTTCCCGATGTGAACCGTGTTTAACGCGCGGAACGTTTGATCGTCGAAATTGATTGCGAAAATTATGCAAATGATTGCAGAAACTCGTGTCGATGCTTTTTTGTAAAATTTGGATATATTGGAGGATCTTCGTATGTAAATCATCGATTGAGAAGATATGTGACAGGTTCTCTTTCTCAACGACTGATTGATTTTGTGATTTGAACGTGAAAAGAAACGGCGAGAAATATCGTAAGTATTTGTTTAAACTTCCATATAAATTTTCTTGAAAAAATCTATAGTGACTCGTGAAAATATTTGAACACATAGCACAAAAACAATTTTTATTCGATACGCGGGTCATGAAATTAACAATGGTATCTCGCATTTTTCTTTCAGGAACGGATTTCTCTGGACTTCTGCAGGAAGTGCAGATAATCCGGATATCCGGATATGGATAATCGACTGGATATACCAGAGGAAACGTAAACGTGAGGACGAGAGAAACGGCGAAAAGTCAGATGGCATTCGTTCGGTATTTTTTTCAAACGAATCGAGTCACGGATGCATGGGAAAAGAGGCACACGTGCGTGGATGCGGAAAATTAATTCGGCGGATGTGACGTCATGGATCGGTACTCGCGTTTCCTGTGGAAGTCTTCTGAGAAACCTGTACGTTTCAGAAGACCCTTGCTTTTATCCATGCACGATGAATGTTCATTAAAACGCGTTTCACTTGGCGGGGAACGGTGGAATTAACTGGAACGAGAAATACATATTCGTAACGCAGCATCGTTTATCTGTACGATCTATCTTGAGAAATAGTTTCCGATCTATATACGCGACGCAAAAAAGAAACGGTTCTCTTTGTGCCCCCGGAGGATCGTCGGTAGCTCGAGGTTCCCATGGGCCAGAAGTTTCGAAGAAAAAGAGAGAAATTCTCTCATGAGGCGCCACTAGGAGGACGATGCTTGCCAGGTGTTTTGGAGGTAGAGTCCCTCCTCTTCTTTCCCTTTCTCTCTTCTTTCAGAAACCATTTCGGCTATGTTCCTTTCCCTTTTTTTCTTCTCCGTCCTTCTCTCACCGCTCGCGTTTTCTTACTTTTGCCCTCTATACTTTTCTCCCTCGAGCTTTTTGCCATCTCGCTTCAACGCTCCGCTCCGAGAAACCCGACTACTTGGTTCCTCCAGTTCTCTTTTATACATGTACACACATTCACTCTTTCTCTTTTCTTCTTCTTCGAGGTTTCCTTCGTTCTTTCTCTGGCTACCTTTCCTTTTTGTGTAGTGGCTCTCCTTTTTACCACCTGGCAGAACAGCAGCTGGTAGCGCAAAGAGGTCTCTCGAAGAGGATAAAGGACCTTCCTATCGTCCTTAGGGAACTCCGACGAACACCGTCATTGGTCTCTAAACAGACTCGGTCAAACAACAGTCCAACCAAAATTGACGTCTTTCCTAATCGCTGGGAAAACACTTGTACATTTTAACGCCACGTCTCTTTATTAATGTCTTTTACTGAGTAAACAATTTCTTCAAACCTCTAACCCTTATTTAGGCGAATAGACGATTTCGAAAGCGATTTTGTTATATTTTCTTCAGAAGATAAGAAAATTGGTGAAACAAAATAGAAGAGTAATAAATGTGGATGATCATTGGAATTAAACGCTATTCATATACGTTTACTTTGGGAAGTTGTAGGAATAAAATGATCTCAAGTTTAGTTCAGGATTTCTTTTCCCATACAAAATGAGAAAATTGTAACTGATAAGGGGAACGAGACGTAGTCAAGTTTTCCCGCAAATGCAGATCCAAAATTCGTTTTCATAAAAGATACTAGGCAGTTTTCAACGTGTCATAGTGCAACTCGATCCGGTCTTCACATGTCTCTTAGTGCTAAGAAGGGCGTGCGGTTACGCGCAATTAAGCTCACTGACTCGTTATAGCTCACCGCGATTCGCTTATGCGCGTACGTGGAATAATAATCGACGACTTGAAATATACTGGAAATTTCTGTCAAGGTCCATGTTCTTCCTCTTTCTTTCAGGAGTGAAAATGTCATTTGCTTAGATATTTTAACGATCCCCGCATTTTTAACACTTCGATTGTTCGCTCGTATCTCTGTTTACTCCATACCGAAATTATTTTCCTTCACTTTCGTTTCATCAGGTATTCACATATTTGCAGACGTACGAATAAAACTTTAGAAAGAATTGCAGAAATCATTTCTTAATGTTCCATTTGAGAACTTAGTCATAATGACAATTTTAAAGTAACGTTCAATATGATATTAAAGTTAACATTTAAGTGTATTTGGTTAGTCATCATTAAGTAAAAAAATATTCTTAATAAATAATTGAATCATAATTGGAATACTATTTCTTTTCTAGTTGTATCAAAGATTTTCAATCTCTACATAACTCTCTATTTTCAGATCGAAGAATCGTCGAAGTTTTAGAGAAGATACGAAAGTTCTATGGTCGATTCGGAAGAAGCGCGAGTTGCTGAAATTAGCTTCCGCGAACCAGTTTGGCGCCGGTTTAACCACCACCGGTGCCAAATCGTGGTTGTTTCACGGGCCTCGCCTCAAGCTCCAGGCCATACTCAGAAAATTGATGGATAACATCTTCTTTTTCTTCCTTTTTCTCAAACGGTAGTCTGTTAATTTTCACTGTAGTTGTAATTGGTGCCATTAATAACAGGTTTGCCTTCATCCTTTGAAGTCTCTTTCGATTCTTTCTTAAGGAAGAAGCCTTTTGAAGGACCGATACAAGTAGTCAGTTTCTGAGGGTCGTGAATACGCTTATTAAACGTGAAAGAGGTCTGAATGGCGATGGTAAGAAGAGAATGATCCAAACTCCGGTTCATGACGTGCACAATAATATATCGCCGACCACCATACTGATCTATAATATATTTATAAATAATAATATATCTAAAATTAATTATAATATATCTATAAAATCTATTCGGGTAGGTCTCATCTTGCTGCGCTATTTGGCAGGAAGAAAAGAATGATAGTGGTTAAATTATTCATTAAAAGTCGCTAAAAGAAGAAAATGTTATACAAATGTTTGTAGGAATAAATGTTTAACAAAAGATATTGGCATTGTTGTCGATAACGTTTTAGATATTTTGTTATGCTAATACTATTTTCTTGAGTTTAATGAGGTCTTGATAAAAGCTTGTGTTGTTTCAATTCAATGACCAGAGAATGTACTCACAAGTCGGAATATTCTTTTTCGTTTTATTACTTTTCAGGTTCACGAAGTTTGGAGCGCGGGAAGACGAAGTTGAATCGGAAACGAACGAAAACTGGTTAGCGGTGAATGAAAAAAGACGAGCAGGATATGTCGAAGATAATGAAAAAAAGATCACGGCGATGTGAGAGGAGAATGTGTGCGTGTTCATCTATGCAGCGAGTCGGTCTCGAGCTGGACCTGTTGGACCATGAGATGGACGGATTGCAGATTTCCTGCATTTCAGATTCACTTTGCGAAACGTGCTTCCCTGCCTGTAATAAATTACGATTGTAATCGTTCTACGTGCACATCCCGTCGCTCGCGGTGAATAATTCAGCGACTGTTGAATTTTTTTCGAGTTTCGTCTTTCTTTGAAACGATCTCAGTTGTATTTTCTGCAATAAGGACTTTCCAGTAATCAAAGTAAACAAAGAATCTAAATTACTTTTTAATAAATATATTATAAGTTCATAGTCAGCTAATATTCTAGTAGTAGCAGTAATAAAACTCTTGCATGAAGATGAAGATCATAGAAGAAGAGCGCGGTAAGTTCGATAATTTAATGTTAAAGCTATCTTCTCGTTGCTGCAAATCCTCCATAAGAATTACAGCAAGTTCGATCTCGATACCTTTTCTTCTTTTAATTTATTCGTTATTTCTTTTTTCCTATCGTTCCAGGACTGTTTCTTAACACATGTTCAGAGATCCGAGGAGTGGAAGGTATCACGTGTCGGCCGATTCATTGGAGCCAGGACCGCTCTTCATCTTTCTTTGCAACGATGCTCAAAGATTCGCGTAGCCTCCCTCCCGCCGATGCGATGTCTGGAGGCCTTGACTGGGACCCTTTGGACCAACTCTCCGGACATACCTATGGCCGAGGAGGCCTTCTCTTACATACTTCCATGGTTTCGTTGTGTTCGTCACACATTCAGTCACGCAACCTTTCGCACACTTTGAGCTTTCGGCTTGTATCCTGCACACACGCGTTTCTATATCCATGTCGTACACTCGGCCCTGTGCCGCTGCTTGTGGCATTACTTCCCTTCAGGCTATTCGCATATTCGAATTTACACGGGGCTTACTTCTGTACACGGAAGACACTTATTGTCTGAATGTGTAACGCCAATTATCACTGATGCAGGAAAGAAGTTCGAGCGGCTTCGGTTAGTGATAAATTCAAATTAAATTTCGCGTGGTAATTTGTGAATGTAATGTATAAGTTATTGGTGGAAAGTTCGATCAACTCCATAAAATACGGAAAGATTATATAACTTGCTAGGAGCTTGAGTAGAGTTCAAATAATTAGGTACCTATTGGTAAAATTTTATCTGTGCAAATTTAGGAGTTATATTCTTTAATTCTTTTCTCGTCTTTTGACATTCCCATCGAAATTCGCCGAGTCATGGAATTGACAAGCGGTCAGATTCGCCGGTGGATTTCAAATTCGTCAAGGTGGAAGAGGTGAGAGAAGGCGAATCGAAGAGAGACCGGACAGAAAGGCCTTTCGCTGCCCTTGCCGGACGTAAATTTATCACGACTTTATCTCGACCGGCGGAACGACGTTCGTTAATTTTCTACCAGCGCCGCTTCAGACTCCTCTTCTTCTCCCACCTCCGTTCTGTCCGTTTCTTTTTTCCAGCCCTTCGTTCTTGCGGATAAGTATCGAGTAAATCGAGCCGAAAAATCCTGCCATTCTTTTCTTTCCACTCAGCTGGTTTAGATTCCACGTAATTGCCAATTTCATCGGAGAGTGTTTCTTCATTTTTCAATTTGCGACCGATCTATCGAAGGTGTGCATCATTTTTCGTAAATCGTACGTGATCAAACGGAGGGCAAGTTTATGTTCACGGGAGTAGGGAACGAACGTCGCATACCTCGGAGAGTGGATATAAATTTAATTAAGATTAGGAATTCGGAGAAGCCGAAGAGAAAGAGAGAAAAAGAGATGGAGCAGGTTCCGATAACCAGTTTCTTTTTACTTCGTTTGTTGAATGGAAACTTTAACTCGAGAGTCTTAAACTCTCTGCCGCAACAGAGAGTTAGTTAGTAATTTATGGTGCTTCGTTGGTAATTTATGTGCGCTTCTTTATTCCAGGCGAAGATACCAGGGTAGTTTCGTCGAAATGTAAAAGGGAAATAGCAATAAGTCGAAAATCCTACGGGAATACGGATATCTTTGTTTCTTCGTATCTTTTCAACCGTTAGCTGTTATATTATGCATCGTGCGCGTAACGAGAGAAGAAAATCGTTTCGGATCTCCCATGACGCGTTAATTAAACGAACCTCATTAATACGGATCGTGCGACTGAAACGAAACCACGAGCAAGGGGGATCTCTTTCGAAAAGGATTTGGTCGTTTGGTTGGTAGAGTGAAGGTCGATACCTTGACTCGCGATACCCCGCTTTTGTTTCTTGTTTTTCTCCTCATCCTTCTTTCAGCTTCGCAGGTCCTTCAGACTGCTGTTTCGACCTCCCTTTCTGCGTCCACCCAGCCGCCTTCTTAATCTTCCTTTAATTCCCTGGCTTTTCGTTTCTTTCGGTTCTTTTTCACCTGGGTTTCTTTCTTCCTCCTCTTCTTCTTCATCGTCGTCGCCGTTGTCGTTGTCGTTCTTTGTTGCCTCTCTTTCTTCTCGCTGCTTTTTTGTATTCCCTCGAATCTTTCCCCACCTTTGCGTACCCTTCTTTTCTTCGCCAGCCCGATCCGCGGCAACGAGGGATCCACACCGATAGATCTCCAGCTGTCTTTAGCCGAGGGAAGAATCGCGAAAAACTTGCCAGTCCATTAAATCTCGTGGTGTGTTTCGAACGATGGGACGCATTCACCAGGATCGTCGATGGTGATTCGTCCCGTTCTCTATCGTCTCTATTTCAGAATAGTCGATTGCCATCGGCTCGAAAGCGGAGCGAAAATAGAATCACATGCGAGCCTCGAGAAATTTAGGATTACATTGCGATAAGAGAATGAAACGAGTTCTTCCCACGCGGTTACCACCGACTCCCGTAGACTCCCTAGTTAGACGTTCGATTATTCTCACGCATCCTAATCACTCTCTTGTCATGCTAATTGACCATTAGAGGCAAGATTGCACAAAGAGGAAGAAGAATGCGCGACAAAGAGGAAGAAAAGATACACACAAATAGAAAAAAGTGGTGGAATTGATTTCTCCTGAGATCGGAGATTCGAGAAACGATCGATCATAGGGCCGAATACCTTTGGTCGACGAGTCCCTCATCAATCACTGATGATTGAGATCGAAAGGAGGAGGTCTTACCAACAGATTGACGGTGCCCGTGTGATCGTCCACCCAAGCTAGTAGAATATCAGCCCCCTTCATGTGGTTTTTATCGTTGAAGCCGATACCAACGTATCCCAAGGTTTTGGCAGTGACCTTGAAGATGACCATCTCCTTGTCTGAAGGATCCCACTCGAGGATAACCTCGCCATCGTCGTCGAGTTTCTCGTGTCTGGTAAACTTTGGTTCCTTGATACTTCTTCGTGGCCTGTTGTCTATCGTCTCTTCAGAATCGGTATACTTAGAGCCACGAAAGAATTTGGCTAATTTATTCATCGGTGGAATGTACTTCTTAGGGACTCGATCTCGCGTTCTTTTCAAGATAGGATCGTCGAAGAGCGTTGGACCAGCGGTGCCGGTCTCGCTGATAATTTCGAATTGAGAATTCTCCTCTATCTCGACGTCGCCTTGAGAATCGGTCGTCTGGGTAGTCTCTTCTCGAGACTCAGCCCTCGGATTCTCGTTTTCGATCGATTGTCTGTCGGACAATGCCGTACCGTTCGACCACGTTGACTCTTCATTGGATAGTTCGATATCGAACGCGTCCGAGATGGTGGTCGTTTCCTCGAATTCTCGGCCGAGAATTCGACTCGCGTTGTTCACCAGCTCGTGTTGACTCGGATCCAGGTTTTCCTCCCTCGAATTAGGAAAGTCCAGACCGTCTTCTTTGTAAGAGATCTTTCTCTTTGCCTTCCATTGCGCGTACCATTCTTTATCAACGTCCAGCCGCTGTTTCTTAAACGTACCCACTCTGAGAAACGGCTCCTCTCGAAGGCCTCTCTTTATCCTGGATATAATGTCTTTCTGATGATGCCTGTTTCTGTAGGCCAAGGTCCTCATGGTCTCGTCCATATGCTGGACGTACAGGTCCAATAAATCGCACCTGGCCATCCAACAGAGGCTCAACACCACAATTAGCCTAAGTATCAGCATCTTCCTCTTCTTCGTTCGTTCGTCCCTTCGTGAACCTTCATACGATCGTCGAATCCACGTTCTCCGTTAATTTCTTCACGATCTCCAAGCCATACGAGCTTTCTTGTGAAACTTCACTCAGAACTACCCCTTGCAGAGCGACTATTATTCATAATCACTAAAAAAAAATTTCTTAGAGTAAAGTCCAATATATACTAGCGCCAAATATAAGATATCGAGTTCCAAACGTCTCTCTTCAAAATTGAACTTCTGTCATCTTTTCTTTATTTATATTTTACGAGTACTCGATTATTTATTACATCAAAATTTCACACACGTTTCTTACGAATGTATTCACAGTCAGTCGATCGGTGTCTGTTTCTGTTATAAAATTTTTCACTTCGCTTCTCGAAGCACAAAATCCTCTCTCCTCAGATGTTACGCGAGCGACAGTTGTGCCGGGACTAATTTAAGCACGCGGTCGTTGTTGCCCCTGCAGATGCTTGCAGCTGCTTACCTGAGCCGGGTCCCCTTCTTTGGGCCCTCGGGCTCAGGCCCGTATCGTCACTTTTCCGGCTCCCTTTTACCATTTTCTATCTCTCTATGTGACACTCGCAATTTCAACTTCGTCTTTTTTCTACGTATTTGTTTCAGAGAGAAAATTTGGGGGAAAAATAATCGAAGGCAGAATGATAGGTTGCGAAGGCAGGACCAATGGTCATTAAATGCTTCCACAATGGCTTAAGAAGACGAAGCCGACAAATGAGAAGGGTCTTTCGAAGAGAACACACTGAAGAAAGAAAGAGGAAAACCTCACACTATCTGAACGATCCTTCTCTTATTATTCCTCCTTTACGACTATTCTCTACGACTAGACAATTTGTTGAGAAAACATGCAGCGTAGACAATGGGCAGTTATTATTGAAATTTTTCCATTGCCAAATGGAACGTAAGAATTGATGAAGTTAGACGTCGTCTAACCAGTGTTTGTCTCAACTTGCTGCACTTTGTTCTTTTGCTGATTTATTTCTTTTTTTGCAGGACAAGAACAATCGATGAATTTTATGAAAATTTGCTGGAACATCAGGCCTCCTTCTTTCGTCCCAAGTGATTTCTTTGGAGTCGATGAGGGAGGAAACGAATAGATCGCGATAGAAAGATCTGGTACTGCTTCCTGCGGAAGCTTTTTTCTGAAACCGGAGACGCATTTATCAGTGGTGGTGGTGTTCCAGAATGAAACCGAGGGGATGCGAAAACAACTGCGGCAGATGTGAACTCTTGGCACGCGCCCTTCTGTTTAACAGTGGTGCTCACGTTTCGATCGAAACGAGAAAATTCGATGGATTTCGAAGCTGAAAGTTTTAACAGTTTGTTTTCGAAATCTTAAAATTCCGGTTGGAGTACGCTCTTGTTTGATAGTTCTTATATCTTAAATTTTATAGAATCTAATTTATTTTTATATCTATTAACCAGGGAAAATGAGTTAACTTGTTGATAGTTAAATCAATTGTATTATGTTTATATTTGATGATCACGTGTGGAAAGTATTGTAATCCATCTTTGTCAATTTCCTCAATTGACTTCTCTGATATTTTTGATTTAATTTATTAAAAAAATGGTTGTTTTCAGTAAGTTTCTTTGTTTCAGAGCGACGCCAGTTGGAAATAGCTAGTTTTCTATTCTTCTAATATCTGAGGCTGATGATAAGAATTCTCTGACAAGAATCTGAGCCGCATGATCGTTACAATTATCCCTTTTAAATATAAATATAATATAAGGCATAATAATATTTGGCCAGATGAATAAAACGACAATGTATTAACAATGAACGTATAAAAAGCATCATCATTTGTAAAGCGTCCACGCGCGCATCGGAAGCCAACTGTATCAAGTTACTTCCTGTGCCTGACATTGAAACTTTATAATCTACAGTAGAAGAGTTATCTTATTCATTCGTGAGTTATCTTATTTATTCATTATTCATTCGAATACTTACTTCGATATAAGAAATATCTTTCAACTCACGGATTGTCATTGATATTTGGAAAGTACTACCCTTTTCTTCAACATCTACTACTTTAATATTAACTTTAGATTCCTTAAAGTATTAAACTTGTATTAAAGAAATGAAAAAAGTCGCTCAAATTTAGAGAAAGCGTTGTAAATCTATAAGAATGAAAAATTTACGAACTGGTGATTTTGTTTACTCTGTTATTTCTAGTGTTGACCACGTTTTTTTTTTTTTTTATAGACTCTACAGAGAACTAACAATTAGCCAATTGCTTCCAAAGAAACCGCAAATCGAATCATCACCGGATCAAATTAATTAACCGCTTCGAAACCAGTTTGACCAGATGGATAGTGGACGGACAGATTTCAAGTTTGCTTGGTTACGGCTCTCCTTCTGATTTCTCTTTCGCGATTCGACATTAAAACAGGAAGTCGGAGGAGGAATCGATTTTCCCGGAATTTCTGTCGGTCAGGTATCGTTGCTTATTGTAAGAGAGAATTCCTTTATGCGAAAAGATGCGCGCGTACACGCAACCGTCGCCGAGCAACTATGCTCGCAGCATTATTTCTTTGTTCGTAGGAATCCGAGGATCGATTGGGATTCGTGCCAAAAGGAACCTTTCGTTTTCTATAAGGATAAATTACAAATCCTTCGGCGACAAAGGGCTAGGAGGAACGTGGTTATTCAAACAACCTTTTTTCTCTGTTTTGCGAGAAGTTTATGGAAAATCGTCTCGCGACACACCATCCCAGTATTCCCCGTCTCGAGGAGCTGTTCATCAGAGAGGATTAAAGTTGGAGGTACACGGCCGCCACTTTGTATTCCATTGGCAAATTTATTCGTCGTCCTCCACGTGGATTATTTATCAGAGGAGACGTTGTATCGGATCGGAAATCTCGTCGTTCTGGGAAAAACCAATGGTTCGCAATATGTATCCAGCATAAGAAGTGAACGACCAGTCATTTTCATCACAATCACGAACTCTACGACTCTGTTCGCGGTAGACTGGTGAAATCATCGTGGATTCCGAGCTCGTTTGTGTCCCTCCTGGTTAACGATTCACAACAATCGCTTAGATACGTTTTACAGTTATTATCACCGATAGATAACGACCGTTTCATTCAGTTTCTCGACGTTGTTCGATCGCCGTTCTCGATCTTTCGTTCTCACGTCTGATATCGTCAATCCTAAAAATATACGTATGTACGAGAGAAGACATACTGTTGCGACGTTCACCTGTCGCGTGCCAAGCTACACCTGCTTAAGTAACTTTCCTCATTCGAGTTCTCACCATCTGCTTCTTTTTCGAGTTTTGGTGACCGATTGGCAGATGCCATGGATTTGACGGTTTTTAATAATTTTATTTCAAACCTTTTAAACACCGCCGACAATTTTTCTGTACGAGATCACAAGTGAAATTTATATCTTGTATAAGTTATCATAAAGGGACTCCACTGCAATGCAAAATAGGAAGTTAAAGTAACGAAATAAATAGAACGCGATTTTGGCATCGCTCGCGGCTACAGAGTTAATTACATATATATTACGTTATCACATTCCCATAGCTTTACGTTTTTTATTGAGGAAACTTTGACAAAAAAAAAAAAAAGATGTGGATGAACAATGATTCCACAGTATTTATTCCGGTCTTGCACGCAGTGTATCATACTGTACGTACGTGTACGCGTATGAGAAATGCCTTGGCATGCGAACTTGTCTAAATTGAGCTGGGAATTCCGTTAAATAAGAAATAATTTCTTTCAAGGTTTTACTAACTTAACTCGAGCAGAAATTCACATGATTCTCTTATTAGCAACATTTCAATATACAGTAAATATAGCACACACACACACACACACATATATTTTACATATATATGTATGCACACGTTGTTAATTGTTATGTAAATGCAGAATAGACATACTCGTGTTTTGAATATCAGTGAACATAGGAATAATTATATTTAACTTAATCAGTAGTTACAAAAAGATTTTCATTCATTAAACTTTCTGGTTTAGTTTAAAATGTATACGTACCTACTATTATTACTTTAAAAAATATTTTTACATTAATTCTCTAAAAAAGAAAAAGTAATGAAAAGACAATGTAATGAAAAGAGTGCTACTTGAAATGAAAAACGTAAGACAATTTATGATACGGAGAATGCTTAAAAAGTTTATAAAATGCTCAATGTTCGAATTCTATTAAATATAAATAAAGAAAAGAGTTCAAGCTCCAATTTGACAGAGATGTAACACGAAAAATTACAAGTTCATCCAATTTTTATAAATTTAAAATTTGCGCAATTTATGGACATCGAGATGTTAGCGCCGCGAAGCGGTGAAGCAGTGAAACTAACCTCTTTGTTGATATCATAAGATGTAATTAATTTCAAGTTTTTACGCGGTCAAATTGCATTCTGTACATATACATTTCAAAATTAACTCTTTCAATTTACGTTCACGAGCAGATTTGATCTAACATTTACAAGAAATTAAACGTAACTTGAAAATGGATTTCAACTTGTTGAACAGAAATATGAAAATCTTTATTCACATGTTTTGTACATTAAATGGAACGTTGGAAGAAAGCTGAGATTCTCAAACTGACGATACAATTTCAAAAGTTCGCAAATTAATTTGAATTAGGTTTTTTTTTCAAAGTGTGTTGCTGGAGCCATCTGTCGGTAAACATGTACACTAAGATTACCGATATTTGTAGTACTGACATGGCGCCACAATGCAAAAACGTGCATCGCTTTAATTCTAAGAAAAATTAATTAAAAAGATTAATTTATCAATGCCATGTCGTCAATTTTGAATTGAGGAAATTGTTTTATTGCACATCCGATCTTAAATTATTTTGTCGATAGTTCACAGTCACAGTTCACAAACACAGTGTGTGTGCTGCCTCGTGGCAGCACTTGTACGAAGGGAGAATTAGGTTAACGTTTGTAAACGAAACTAATTGTGTTGTGTAATTTGTGACAAATTAGAAGACTGATACAAATGTTCATATAATAGAAACAACTAGGAACAGTTCTTTTTTTGCTGTTAAGTAACATTATCGATCATGGTTCGAAGTAGCGACAAGTACGTATAACATTTTGTTCAAGTACGCTTTTTAGGTTAATTTTATTAACCTAACCTTTGCTATTGTACAAACTACGAACATTATAATCAATACCAATCGTTCGAACATTTATCGATGATATAAACGTCAAGCACTGAATTTAATGCCTTTGCTTTTTAGAGATAGGCATCACAGAAGGCGGTCTAGATCGCGTTCTAGATCACGGTCTGCTACTCCGGAGAAGAAACGACGGCGATCTCGAAGTAGAGATAGGGACAGAGAACGAGATAAAGGACGACACAGGGAAAGAAGAAGTCGTTCTAGAGATCGTGACAGGGACAGAAGAGATCGTTCTGAAAGGGACAGGGATCGTGACAGGAAACGGTATATTGTACCGAAATATACACGTTATTTTCTAATTTCGTATGATTATAAATGACAAATATTTCTTAATGTTATAACTCTCTTGAAAAGGTTTCCAAGGCTTACAAGCGAAACTGTGCTAGTTACCATGTTTGTTTTTTGTTTTCATTGAGATACACATATTAATGGAATAATGTATTAATATTGATTGTTCTCGGTATACTAGTGGAGACAGTAAAGAAAAGCGTCTTACAGGCTCAAAGTCTTCGCGTTCAGGCAAAGATCGGTCGAATAGATCAAGATCAAGAGACCGAAAGGAGAAAGAGAAGGGTGACAATGATGAATTGCCGTTTGACCATACTAAATTAGACAAGGTAATTTATTTTAATTGAAGTAAGAAGTACGATTTGCTTAAACATGATCTCGCTACGTGTTTATTAGGAGGAAGAGCAAAAAAGATTGGAATTAGAAATGCAAAAGAGGAGAGAAAGAATAGAGAGATGGCGTGCAGAAAGGAAAAAGAAAGAATTAGAAGCAACTAAGAAAGACGGTAAGGCATCTATTTTAGCAAATCTACAGTTGCCTATGAAAAAATGGTCCCTCGAGGATGACAGCGATGAAGAGACGCCTGTTATCCAAAATTGCAACAAGGAATGCAAAGAAGATGGAGAAACGAAAGAAGAAATGGAAGAAGTTAAGGAAGAAACCAAATGCGATGAAGAAGAAGTTGATCCCCTCGATGCGTTTATGGCAGAGGTATTTATCATGTTATTACGTATATGTTACATACAAGGAATTAAAAATTTTCTTTTTAAATAGGTTCAAGAAGAAGTTCGTAAAGTGAACAAACTCGATAATAAGGGTGGAAAGAACGCGAATAACGGCACAGGTGCCGGAGGTACTCAGAGCGGTGGTGTTGTTATCGTCACTGGCGTAGCCAAAAAGAAAGTGCAGAAGCAAAAAGGGGAATTAATTGAGCAGAATCAAGATGGTCTTGAATATTCTAGCGAAGAAGAAGGCGAGAATCTTCACGAAACCGCCGCTGGCATCGCGAATAAGCAGAAGCGAGAATTAGCCAAAGTCGATCACGCAACGACAGAATATCAGCCATTCAGAAAATCATTTTACGTTGAAGTACCTGAGATTGGTGAGATTGCATATCGAAATTTTTACATAATATTTTTTTATAACGTTTATTCTATTGGCATTTAATCTTTTTTAGCGAGAATGACACCAGAAGAAGTAGAAGCGTACAAAGAAGAATTAGAAGGTATCCGTGTGAAAGGCAAAGGTTGCCCGAAGCCTATTAAGTCGTGGGCACAATGTGGTGTCACGAAAAAGGAATTGGAGGTACTAAAGAAACTCGGTTATGAGAAGCCAACTCCTATTCAATGTCAAGCCATTCCAGCAATTATGTCTGGCCGTGATTTGATAGGTATAGCAAAGACAGGCAGTGGAAAAACGTTAGCCTTCTTGCTACCAATGTTTAGGCATATTCTTGATCAGCCTCCACTGGCAGATGGTGATGGCCCAATCGCATTAATCATGACACCAACTAGAGAATTATGTATGCAAATTGGAAGAGATTCGAAGAAATTCACAAAGTCTCTGGGATTGTCCCACGTTTGCGTTTATGGCGGAACTGGTATATCGGAACAAATAGCTGAGTTAAAGAGAGGTGCTGAGATAATTGTATGTACGCCAGGCAGAATGATTGATATGTTAGCTGCCAACAGTGGAAGGGTAACAAATCTACGCAGAGTGACATACGTAGTTCTTGACGAAGCGGATAGAATGTTTGACATGGGTTTCGAGCCTCAAGTGATGCGTATTATGGAAAATGTTCGACCAGACCGACAAACTGTATTATTTAGCGCGACATTCCCTCGACAAATGGAAGCTTTAGCAAGAAGAATTTTAACCAGACCTGTGGAAGTTCAGGTTGGTGGACGATCTATTGTTTGTAAGGATGTGGAACAACACGTGGTGGTTCTTGAAGAAGATCAAAAATTTTACAAGTTACTTGAAATTCTTGGCCACTATCAAGATAAGGGTTCCACTATAATATTCGTCGACAAGCAAGAAAACGCAGATACTTTATTGAAGGATCTCATGAAAGCTTCGTATTCCTGCATGTCACTTCATGGAGGTATCGATCAATGCGATAGAGATTCAACGATATTAGATTTCAAGGCTGGCAGGACGAAGTTATTGGTTGCAACGTCAGTCGCAGCCAGAGGTCTGGACGTGAAGCATCTTGTACTTGTAGTAAATTACGATTGCCCGAATCATTATGAGGATTACGTGCACAGATGTGGAAGAACAGGAAGAGCTGGAAATAAGGGGTAAATCCTTTTTTTGAGATACAGTGTTTATATCAATAAAACAGTAAAAAAACTAAAAATCTATTTACTTTCGTTCACAGGTATGCATATACTTTCATCACATCAGAACAGGAACGGTACGCAGGTGATATTTTACGCGCTCATGAATTAGCCGGAGTCCCTGTTCCTGAACCATTGCGACAGCTTTGGGAAGGATATAAAGCTCGACAAGCAGCAGATGGCAAGAAAGTTCACACCGGCGGTGGTTTCAGTGGCAAAGGATTCAAGTTTGATGAATCAGAAGCAGCCTTAGCAAACGAAAAGAAGAAATTCCAGAAGGCAGCTCTGGGATTACAAGACTCCGATGACGAGGATATAGAGAACGATATTGACCAACAAATAGAGAGTATGCTTGCTCCAAAGAGGACGGTTCGCGAAATTGCTAGACCTTCTGCCACTAACATTGCGGTTCCTGGACAGCCTGTACCTAGTGCAACTGACAAGTTAGAATTGGCTAGGCGATTAGCATCTAAGATCAACATAGCGAAGAATTTGGGTGCTGAGGCAAAGGGTGCAACACAACAAGCGGCTGAAGCTATACTTAAAGGTGCTGGTCCTACTAATCTTATTACAGCAAAAACAGTTGCAGAACAGTTGGCTGCAAAATTGAATACCAAGCTTAATTACCAACCTCGCGAAGAAGATCTTGTGGAAAGTGACGCAGAGGCTGGCGAACAAACCTTCCGTAAATACGAAGAGGAATTGGAGATCAACGACTTTCCGCAACAGGCTCGGTGGCGGGTTACTAGCAAAGAAGCTCTTGCTCAGATCTCAGAGTATTCTGAGGCGGGTCTTACAGTTAGAGGAACTTACATTGCACCTGGTAAAGCACCACCTGAAGGAGAAAGGAAGTTGTATCTTGCTATCGAGTCTACAAGTGAATTGGCAGTTAGCAAGGCCAAAGCGGAAGTATCACGATTGATTAAGGAAGAACTGATCAAATTGCAAGCGTCCGGAGCACACACTGCATCTCGTGGTCGATACAAGGTTTTATAAAAAAAAGAAAAGAAAAGGAAGAAATGTTCTTGTCTTGTACATGCAATTCTATGCACTATAAAATATTCGTTTCAATGAATAACATATGAGTAAACTTAGAAATTTATTAAACTTACAAGTGTCTATACAAAACATTTTGTATTTAACAGTACAATAATGTGCAAAACTTGCTTAACAGTTAACGAGAGTAACGATCGAGGTATCTGCGAGCGGTACAAATTTCTCGGCTTAAGAAATCAATTGAAAAACGTATGATGCGACATGAAATTTGGACCGCTTGACAGACTTGGGTTTTCTATCGATTATTGTATCTGCGAAGGATTTAATTTTTGGTAACTTAAGTTAGGACTTTAACTTTATTTACATCTTACAATGAGCAACATAATCATCCTTTAACAATTGTTTTGCGATATTTTCTTATTTGGATAATTATGTGCTTTTGTACATGTTTCACGTACTCCCTTTTCTTTGGCAATATTAAAAAGATGAAAAATACACTCTAATTTTTTATATATTACGTTAGGCACTAGAAGAATCACAGTCATGAACTTGACGATACCGCGAAAATACGGTAAAGCCATTAGGTAAAACAAATGTTTTAGCACCTTTGAAAAATGCGAGTAAAAAAGTAGCCGCTGTGTCTATTTCGATTTTCACGAAATTATAATATATACGAGAATTCCAAGAAAGACCTGCGTAGCGGATCCTCCAATGGTCATGGCACTTGATATGTAACTGTGAGCAATTTCCGCTCTGGTGAGCGCGCCTAAGAGTACTTCGGTCGTGATCCTAGGACTTCTCTCCGAAATTCTGGTAACTAATTTCTCAATCTCGGCCACGCAAGCTCGTAGTTGTAAAGTTGAAGGCCTTTTCGACGTAGGCTGTACTAGAATGAATATGTCAAGGTCCGGTGTCATCATGCCTCGAAGAACACACTGTGCCACTTGGATCTGTCGTGCTAGAGCTGATAAAAGGACCTCGAGCGTAACCGAATCTTTGTCCACGTCCTCATCCATCGTGTAGTATATCCTGTCCAGCTGAAAAATCCAGAGAGTAACATTTAATTTTAATAATAATAATAATAATTCAATTCAATTCAATTCAATTAAAAGAGTAGAAAAAAGAATGATATACCTGTTTTTTGGAATAAAATAGTTTAGCCGCTCCACCGCACACAGGACAACAAGCACCAGGTGGTGTGACTCCGACGCAGTAGGGCTCGATTAATCGAGGACACTGTACTAGATCACCGCAACGAGGCTTAGCTTCATCACCTATCAATCCAACAGCTACGCAAGGACCAAAGTAATCCACCACCGTCCTTTCTGCCCACGCCGCGCATTCGTTCGCGTAAACCTCTCCATTGATGCCGCAAACAGGACCACGTAAGCTACATCCTTCCAGACAATGTCCTCTATAGGCCAAACTGGCTCCAGCACGAATCATAGCGCACACCGATCGATATTGGCGGTTCTCTTTGTCACAAACTGGACCGTTCGCTTCATCTCGAGGATCGCAATCGAGGGGAATGCATTCGTACTGGCGACAAGATTTATGAAGCCTGGACAAGCATATTCTGGTTCTTGGAACGCACTTTTCTGTGCTGTCGCAGGGATTGGATGCGCAGGCGTTTCGAGAGGAACAGCTACCGAATTCCACTTCGTTCGCCGACATCTCCGCGCACTTTGCCAGACAACCAGACGCAAAAGTGAAGCCTAATCTTCCACAGACAGGAACGTAATGAGCCGGACAGTCGCAGGGAAGGGAGGGAGCTCGGATCTCTCCGCAGTTCTTTTTGGAACACGTGAACTCGCCCTCGAAACAGTGACAGGGATTACATTCCAGATAGAAGTTGGCTTTATGAGCAATGAACCGATCGTGTACCCAGCAGGAGTTGAATTTATAGCAGTTTAACGTTCGGCACTTCTCCAAACCGTGCAGCGTGCACTGGCAGATTCTGAGACAACCCTGTTGGTCGTATCTTGGTATCTGTACCCAAGATCCTACGGGTACTAGTTGTTTCGACATCTCTCCAAGAGAACAAGCCGGTACACAGCGGTACAATTGGCTGCCAAAATGAATCAGCTGACAGATTTCGCCCTGGGCGCAAGGATTACTTTTGCAAGGGGTCATAATGTCTTCCTCGAGATGAATCACGGACTCGTTATCCTGAGGATCTTCTAGAAACGGTCTTAGAGACACGCAGGAGGCGTCGGATCTAGCTGGTGAGAGTTTCGCACATAACGTGGCTGCTGTATGGGGACCAGTAATGGCTGACCAGTCTACGCAACTGGCCATCAATTCTAAGCAATCCTCTCGACAGAGTCTCGTCTCGTGGATCTTTGTTTCGCAGGGTCTCAATTGCAATAGACATGCGGCTGCCCGTAGCGTTTCCGGTGGACAGGAAGCAGCAGCTCGAACAGGCACACCTAATCCTCGAACGATCCCACCTCTGGACCAGTGATCAGCTTCTAATTTAGCTGCCTCGTCAGCTGCGGCCGAACAACTTCTAAAATGTGAAATAGAAATAGCAGTTGGACCAGGTTTGGCTGTAGTTTGGACGTGAGTTTCTACCTGAAAAGTGTCGTTGACCTGTCGTTGAATCGAGTGCAATAGGACAGTCCAGAGCAACCCATTTCGCATGGATCGTCGGTATCCTCGAGACACCTCCTAAGTTCGCCTTCTAAGCTCGACGACAAGCACTCTGCGTCGAGCTGAAGCCACGCGGACTCCCAGTCTGCTTGGAACGCTCTCCAACACAGATTTTGACACGATGGCTTGGTCGCTTTGGTGCAGCACGACAACTTGCCCGCATCTAGAGGTAACCGTGCTGGCTTTGACGAGCCAGACTTCAACAAGCAGCTCCAGAACGGCGATTGAGGCAATACTGGTCTGCATTTCTCTGTCAGCGCATCCATGATCTCTTGATCGGTAGTTGCCGTATGCAGGATTTTCTTGCACGTTTCTAAACAGGCTGGGGTCGTAGCCACGTTGCAACAGTGCAAATCTGTCGTAACAACACAGTAAGATTGACGACGAGTTGGAAGCTGCAAAAGAGAAACATTTTGAGTTTCACTTACGTTGTTTCGGGTCTTCAGCGTGCTTCACTTCAGCCACGCTTTTTAGACACTTTGGAACTTGATGGAAGCACCCCTTGCTACTATATAACTTCAGATTTGAAATCTTCCCGGGTTTATAGAACAAATCTTGGCAAATTGCTCTACAGGTATCGTTAGATACGTTGCTGCAACAGTGCTCGGCTTCTTCTCGCCTTTCCAAGCAAGAGTAAAATTCAGGCTCGTCACTTGGCCGACAGGATTCGTTCAGATCTCTTCTAGAGCCTGAGAGAGCGCACGTGGATCGGCATATTGGATTCTGTACCAGGTAACAACAACCCCTTCCAGTCCAATTTTCGTGTCTCTTCACCTCTATCGGGAGAGAAATAATTAACAATTTTGCGTTGCTTTGAAAGGGGTTGACAAGATTAAGTTGAGACTCTCACCGTTCAAAGTCGAGTTGACGCAGCCCCAAAATTCCGTCTGAAAGGAAAAGTAAAGAAAAGTTGAAGACGAGGGTGATCCAGAAAAAAAGCGAAAATTGAGCCGAACGTAAGAAAGAAACCATCGCGAGAGAGTCTTTTGTAACACGAATCTATCGATCTTAACAGTCCCACGTTCCTTCTCGTGTCGCTAAATGTATTGTCGCCGGGGATCGTTTCAGATTCGACACGACCTCTGCGCGTCGAGCATGGATTAAAAGGATCGATTAAAAGCGGCTTACCAGCTCTAGGGAACAAAACTCCAGCAACCGTCTCGTCGCGTTCTCTCTTGCTTCTGCCTCTGCTCCCAACACCACAAGAGAGATCTGAAAGCACCGCCAACATATGTTTTTTTTTCTTTTAGTATTTTTCTTCGAATATCTATCTATCGTATAAAAACGGATGGAAAAAGTTGGAAGGATTCAAGGAACATGGAAAGGAAGAAAAAAACGGTACAGCTGTGTGTCTCTCGATGGGAATTTCCACGATTCTGAATGCAAGGTACGACGCATTAGAAGTTATTAAGAATCAAGGACACGAGTACGCTTCGGTCGCCACGATTTCCTGTTGCTCGTCACTGAATGACAATAAACCGCATAGACATCGACTGTTCTACCATTTAGGGGTTCATTCGGAATTCAATCGACGTACACTACGAGGACATACAGGTCTATTCCGTAGTCTCGTCACGGTTACAAGTTACGACTATCCATCGGCGTGTGGTGGGTCCTGTTAGGTTCTTGGACCACAGCCTGGATTACAGGTTGTATTTTAATACCGTACCATCGATCGTCGCTTTCCTTCCTATTTTTCGTTGAGAATTTTTTACGAAACGAAAAAGAAACGATAGCTTGCAACAATCGAGCTATCGAGGATTTTAAATAGAACTGTCCACTCGAACTATTGTAAATGTTAAGGGCGTAAAAGATAGTGAACCGGGGACCACGCACGTATTTCTGTCGCGGTATATTCTGGGAGCTATGCGCCTCGTCGCCACTTCGAAAGAGTTGCAGTTTTCTCGCAAACTTTTCCACAAGAGACGCCAGGCAGTCTAGTCGCGGTTGTAAATTACATGTACAGCTTGTTCGCGAAATTATTTGTACGCTTGTTAAAAATTTTCATGGATATATCCATGCATGTTGTATGAAACTTTCCGAAATATTTCACTGATATAATTTATCCAAACTCAAGACGCAATTTTATTAATTCTAATTCAACTATTTTGCTTGGATATAAATACGTGCTTGGATATAAATAACCGTAGGCATTACACGCTACGGCTAGAACTTCCGGCCATTTCGACCGGACGCGACTGCTAAACCTATTAATCAATCGTTTCACGTTTAGCAGTAATAATTCATCGACGGGTACATTACGCATTATGTGTGAAAAGCAGCTGAAATATTTATCAAACGCTCAGACCACCCTTAAAACCCGTAGTCGATGGAATTTTATAGCGAAAAGAAGCCACGTTCTACGTTCCTAGACGTGAAAGGCAAGCGATCTAAAGAAGATTCGCTTTCGCGAGTACAAATTGCAGGGAAACACGATATCATTGATACCGTGTCTGGTTCATGGAGCGGAGTGCGTCAATTCGTAATATTTGCGTATGAATGAGCTGACCGGGACCCCCAGGGGGGTCGTGCGTAAATCTCTCAGCGGGCCCCAGTGTCTCCGATATTATCTCGAAAGGGGCCCTGCAGCCACTTTTAAAGAAGCTACAACCACGCGTGCACCCCACGTCGCGTCGCTTGGAATCGGGGCCCTGTCGAAAAACCACCGTGCGCTTCCTCTTTTTCTCCTTTCACCTTTCCACCGCGTGCTTCATCCTTCTCGCGCGCAGTTTCCTTTTTATTTCGGCGAGAGAGATCCTAATATATCCGTGGACACGGCATATTTTGTACCCTTTATCGTCCCGGGGTCGGGGCACCGATATTTATCAGCCGGTCAGCGATATCACATTCGTCCGGCGAAATTATATTCCTCGAAATTGTCTTTTTGACATTCCCACGGGGATCTTTCGCGCGCATAATTAATAGACACGGTCGAAACGACGAGTTAGTGGGACAACAGCGGTTTAGCTGAATCCTATGGTGCGTCCTCACAAATCGCGAATAATTCGTCGCCTGTTTGTCATCCGTTCACGTACTGTTTACGAACGTTTGAGAACTGCAGTGAACTGAAGCTATTGCAAAGCACAGTGCGCTTAATATTATTTCACTTACTACACACTTTGATCTATTTTTAATGATGAAGTATGAAAATCGTAATAAATTAAACTATAATTATACTTTTTTATTTTATTATAACTTTTTTTTTTAGGAAGATCGAGAGTTTGTTACAAGCAGTGTTCGCAAAAGAATCGTAGAGTGATCATCAAATATTCTTGAAAGTCTTGTGAGTATTGTTAGCGAGTATTTTTGTTGGTGAGCACGCACTTTCGTAGGATTCATTGGAAAGATCTATTTTTTCAAGTTGAAGTGTTACCACATGTTTTTTCCGGTTGTGAGTGTACAGTAGAAAATAGAGAAAAAGATACCTTGGAGCAGACATTGCGACAAGATCCGGCAGCCAAAGAACAGCAGGACATTTCTGGAACAAATAAAGCATAGTCAGATCTTTTCGATACATGCAAAAACATATGGGAACAAGAGCATTCATAGACAGGATGCACACTGCGATCCTTTCTCCGCTTTTCCTTAGACATGAAACAGACCCGTGTCCTGCGTTACGTCAGTTAGAAAGAGAAAGGATCCGCCTTTATGGTACCAGATGATGGCACGCAACACGTCAAAATTGCACGGTCCTTCAAAGCTCTCTTTTTCATTGTGAAAAAGAGCAATTACCGAAATGTCGAAGATCACTCACAACTTTAGTATTAGATTGTGTAATGAGTTTGTTGGCGTTTTTTAAAAGAGCATAAAAAAATTGTTCCTAAGATCTAATTATATTATTTTATTAATCCTTTGTAAATGGATTAAATAATTTATTTATCATATTATTATTTCAAAGCTCTTGTCTTTTTATTAAAAAATTTTAATGCCCGTAGTTTTACATTTTTAAAAATATTAAACGATTATTTACTTTAAAAAGACATTGTTCCATTAAATAATTCAGTAATATTGTAGAATTTATTCTATAATGTTTCTCAAAATGTAACACAGAGAGGTGAACGAACTTATTACACAATCCAATATCCCAGATTTATCTCTGCTTTAGATACTTTTTCAATTTTTTTCCATTATTAAGATTTCTTTTTCGTGAAACGTAGTTTCTATTTTTTTTTTTTTACGTGGACATTATTTTTATTAAAACGATATCACGGTGGAAACATAAGAGACGCAGTCACGTCATATCTTCGTCCTCTGGCAGTCTCGCGTAAGCGATCTTTTACGACTTTACGGGTATAATATGCGGGTCCAGTCAAACTGGCTTTTCAACGACGACCGAAATCATGAATGTCGAGCACAATAAACGATGCACACGAAGCACTGAGAGCCCGGAGACAAGGGGGTTCGAAGCGTGTTACAATTAAGTTAATAGATACCAGTCAGACACAAATTGCGGTTGACTATGCTTCTCTGCGTGACTCGCTTCGTATATCGTGTACTTTCCATCGCGAGCAACCAGTCCGATCGTTTTAACTTGCTATTACTTTTTATCTCTATCCTGTTTTCTATTTTTTTTTTTTTTTCGTTCTTTTCATCCTATCCTAGCAATTTACTTTTAACGACCGATAAGTTTGCGCAGCTGATGAAATAGAAATAGCGAGATTTCCTGTTTTCAGATACACGACAGCTGGCCTGTCGAATATCGATTTCACGGGGGACAACACGCGGGCTGTCTTCTATCTTTAAGGAGCCACGACGAAGGAAAGCTAGGAAAGCTCGTCTTTGATGTCACTGGCTAAATTCGTGGAGTTGTGAAATTCGCCGTGGCAAGTGCCGTATTCTGAAATCGTAACGGCGTTTGTGGCTTCTCTCGCGGACGACACAAAAATAGCCGACGTCGTTTGCGGCCATTCGACTTCTACCCCGATCTAACTCGTGAAAGTCCCCTTAATTTTATCCGCCCGGATGAAATAGAACGACCAAGACCTCTGTGTCTTTGAACGCGGTGTTTAAAAGCGGCTCGAGTCTTTTCAAATAAATTTAGGTCTGGTTGTACGTTTTCGGCCCCCTTTGAAATTTCTCGGTCCTCTTTCTCTTTCGATATCGGTCTCCGGCCGGTTCTTTGTCTCCTAAACGTCGAAACAGTTTTCTTTAACAAAGCAAATCGAAAGGAATATGTCAACGTAAATTTCTTCAAGTGTGCCACACGTATCGTGCATGTGGGTGAGTGCAGTATAGTTGCATGCAAAAGGGACATGCCTACTCTCGCAGCTGCGCCTTCCATTGCCATATCGTGCGCGAATGGTGACATCCACGTCGTTGCACTCGTAAAACTCGCACGATTCTCCCACGCCTAACGATAATAACCCTTCCACCAGATGGAAGATAAGCCAGGAAGTCGGAAAACCTTCCACGAATTTGCGTACGAATCATATGCATTCCGAAGTTTCGAAACAGCATTGTACATTCCAGAATCGATATCTTTGATATCGGTATCTAAAAACTTGATGACTTAATCAATTCTATTTTTATTTCCTGATTAGTAGTAAGGTAAACAACACGCTTCTGTTTATCAATGTAACAATGGTAACCTTTTGTTAATGGTTATGTACCTAATGTATCTTTTTGCTACAGTTTCTGGAGCTCTCAAGATCAATTAATCAACGATCATTCTTGGCTCGTTCAACCTGCTAGCATAATTAGTTCGTTTGTATGTGACTATAAGGATGCTCCTGACTGATACCTCGTTACATCACACTTATCGCGACGATCTAGTCACACCAGGCTGAATAGCGTTCGATTCGAGAATTTTTCCCGGTTACATCGCCGACAAAAACGCTAGCTGAATGGAAATGTAATTACACGGTGCCCGACACGAAAAAGGGTGGAAGGAAGTCGCGAAGGATACAGTATTACGCTTAATTAATATAGTCATCAAATTTGCGAGCTGGTGCCTGCACCAAGAAAGAGACACGTTGCGTTTTAACGTAGAACATAATGGCAGTCGAACAACAGAGAGGAGGAATAAACGATCGAATAAAAGGCCGAAGAGGGAAGACGAACGATTTTATAGAAGGATGAGAGAATGAGAGGGAGGGGAGATAAAAAGGAGAGGATCGAGATACGAGTGTCTCTCGACATGTTTTTATCCGCCGTGAAGCTGTCACGGGGGTTTTATGTGTTTATTTATCTCTCCACTCTCTCTCGACACGCCACGAACATGTATCGAGAGGCAAAGAGAGTATGCCTCTGCACGCGGCTGACCGACCGTGTCGGGGCCCTGCCGATTGGAAGTCGCGTTCTCCTTTAACCCCTTCGTTCCGGCGTCTCGTTCGTTTTTCTCAGCAACGCGTTTCGCGACAACCGGTCCAAAGAAATCGTTCCCCCAGAATCTCTGCCACGGCAGCATGGACGTAAATCCTTCAGGAAGCTCCGAGTGTCCGTCTAATTGCGGACACTGTTTCGAAAATCGTGTAACGAGATGCCATCTCACGGGTGTTCGGACCGATGGTGGTCTGATCGTCCTTGAGAGATTGCGACAATGTCCAGAAATCGAACGAACAAATCAGAGATCTTCTGTGAATCTTCTTCCAACAGTGTTACCATTACTGCGTTAAACGGCACGTACGACGAAAAGGAGATCTTGACCTTTACAAAGAAACGAGCCAGATCATTCAACTGAAATCACTCACTTGGTCGTAAAAGACCGGAGAATAAAGGTTCCAGGAACGTTAATTGTCTATCACGATAGTGATAGCGGTTCATGAAAGTATTCAGATTCGTTTATGCAAAACCTTTTACGGATATATGTATTAACTTTGAAATTTTTCATAATTACATTCAAATTTGAAACTGGTCAACGTACACACGTGTCATTGTTACGTGTTCGAATTTCTCTTTTATCATCCAATTGCTGATACGTTACGAAGAGAGGAAAGATTTTAACGTAATGTTCGATGTACGACAAATAGAAGAAGAGCGAACGAGGAGAGAACTTCGCCGATTAATAAAGCTAATAGGTCATCTATTTGGCGAGTGATCAACAGGGATCAGAAGTTGAGGCCATTAATTAATAAGTTCAATCCTCCGAACGGTGTTGCCATAAATCGCTTGCGCAACATCGCGTTCCAATTTCCAGCTGAAAGACGGGCGAAATTGCACGCGCGGCATAGAAAGGATTTACGCGCAAAGGGGCATGCGTTGAAATTACTATGATCCGGTTGGTTTTACGTATTTAAAAAGCGGCGAAAAGCCAGCGGCGCAACGGTTTCAAACGGGACAACGTTCCTTCCTATCTTTTTTCCTTTTTTTTCTTTTTTGCCTTCTGTCTCGTTCATCACGCGGCCAGATATTTCATAGTCTTTCGTTGATGTTACATCCAGCTTAAAATTACTCCAATCGAATGACATCTTAACGATGTTTTATTACGATCACCAGCTGGCCGACCGAGAGAACTTATCCATAATTTATCGAAGGAACTTAGTCACGGCGAAACCTTGTCTAGGTCTGTATCGTTGACAGAGATAAGATGCCGAGTTAAACCGCGACTCCTTACATCGGAATAAACGCCTGTTCTACCGAAACGACGGCTTTCTATCGCCGATAACACCGATAGCTAAAGCTTGTCTAGCGCATTAGCATTGTATGGCATAAATATCGGAGCTGGTTCTAAGAAACTACGCTCGTTCCTGCACGCTGCAAGAAGTACGGCTGATAGACGTAGACGTATGCCGCAGAGAGAAAGAGAGATTTCAGCTTCGCCTTCACCTCGGGTAGGAAAAAAGGCCCCAAGCAGAATTTATGAGATATCAATTAGCACGAAATCATTCCACTCGCGTGTGCACCGAACGGTGATGCTGTGGCAATAAGTCACTGGCGACGGGGGGAGAGGAACAGAGGAAACGCGTGCAGGGAAAAGGTGAGAGGATCAGAGAAATGCGTGACACGTTATCACCTCGCGAATTCTGTTACACGTCTATACGTGCGTATATGCGAGAATGTGCGGCTGTCAATGGCTCTTTGCTTATACACATAGCTCTCTTTCCTCTTATTGTACAAGACCCGCGGACGCGCGTCCACCGAGTTGAAGAGAGGCAGAGGCAAAGGACCGTTAGCGACACCTCGTTCACACGCACGTGCACCGTGTAAATTTCGAGACAGAAAGAAAGAGAGAGAGAGAGAAAGAGAGATAGAAAGATTAAAGATCAGCAGATTGGGTGACGGAACGCGGAACGAGCATTTTTCACGAAATTCTCTAAATTGCTAGTCTTCCATTCGTCGTTGCGTGTTTCAATAAATACATTGGCAATCTCAATCATAGAGGAAAATTTCAGGAAGAAATTTGCGTGAGAGGCAAATGTTTCTTTCCATCGACACTTGAGCATACTTAGTCACGGAAATTCGATAAAGAAGCCCCGACTCGTGTCTCGAGTGCGTTGACGATAACGTCGAAGAAGGGAGAGCATTTAAGATCACCGCGCGAATCGAACGGTAGAAGAAGTTGAAAAAAGTGAAACGCTGACAAAATGAAGGCGAGAATTAATACGGAAGGAGAGATCAAGAGGGAAGAGGAGGAAGGCAAGTGCGCACATGTGGCCAGAAGTTGTCGTCGATATCTACTCCAGCACGATGACAAAGACTCGCGAAGATACGGACTCGCTGAATTTTGCCCGTCGCGACATGTTCGTATTTTAGCGCAGACGCGAGAACGATCGGTTGACATTGGCTAGTTTAAATATAATCGCGGTTTATCTGGCGCCGCGATAGGGGCTACGGAGCGAAGTTACCAACTAATATTTTACTCTTTCGGTTTTTTTTCAGGTGGAACGTCGAGTTGCTCGACATCGTGTGACACTCGTTAAATCACCATAAGAGCAAGATAAAAATAAGAAATCAGGAAATTACCTTGCGCTGCGTCGAGGAAAGGATCGGCGACGACGATGATGGCAAACATCATCGTCAATCCGATCGTCAGCATCGTTGAACGATCAGCGATTTTGCGAAACTGCGGTCGAACCTCGAGATGCATGATCACTGGTCCCATCGGCGCATCTCAGCACAGGACAACGAGGGCGTGAAATGTACGAACGATCGCGAATGATAGCGACAGTGTTGGCATGTCGGCGAGAAGCGGACTCGCATGAGAACCAAGTACCACACTGGAGCGCAGTCCGCGAGCGACTGAGCTTTTCGTCGCACTTGCGGCCTCGAGGCTCCGGTAAGCTTTTTACTCGACTGAGTGGGTGAGAGGAAGAAAGAGACCAGACGATGTCGAGAGAGAACGAGAGAAAGGCAGAGAAAGAAGAAGGCGAGGAGCGAACCGAATGCGAGATAGGGACGGAGCGATTGCGTGTGGGAGGAGGGAAAAGACGCGTGGCGCGTTGTCACGCAGTGCAACTGCTATTGTGACATCTTCGGGCTGTACCCACACGATCCTCCGGTATGTATTTTTTCGTCTGTCGTTTCGAGAAGCCTGGCGGCTCCTTCCTCTTTCGATCGTATTGCGTATTTTTGCATTTCAAAATTGAGAAATTTTCACGCGCAACTCGCTCGAGCAGTAGGGGACGAGACGAAGGAAGTTCGGAGTCGTATATCGACTGATATCGGTCGTGAACTGGACGATTTCGTTATCTTGACCCAAACGGATTAGCCGAACGGTCACTGTACTCCGAAACGAGATTTCGTCGAAAGTCATAAATTCGAAGGAACCAGCTAAGCTCTGCTCGTAGGGTATAAAGCAACATTCTTATACTGGATAAACTGATAACCCGTACTTGCCTGTACTTCCTTTGATAGCGATTGAGATGTATTATAAGCAAGCATGGTTGTCGTGAACTGTCGTTGAAACACGGGTATCGTTCACTCTACTAAGGAGTCTTGACAGACTTATGATTCATTCTCTGAAATTATTCACTCTAGCAAGAATATTTACTCTACTCTCTCTGCACGATAGGTACATATTATTTTCAATAGCATATTATTGTATAGCAAGTACAATTTCATAGGGAATAAACAGATCAAGTTGTCTTTACGTAAGCGTGAAACGTAATTATTATTGCAATATACGCGCAATATCTAAGTGTTGATGCAATACTGGAAATGGAAATGTAAAGTTGCATGATTGAATAATTTCAAGATTCCTTGACGGAACTTTGGCTTGGTTGCGTCGCTACGGGATGGATTCCGTTCGAACCCCTCGCGAATCGACTCGCCAAGTAATTTATTAATTTATTCCGCCGATAAATCCGTTTCAATCTGCACGTAGGCCGAGGATGAATTGTTCTTCATTCGAGCTTCTCTCTTCCTTTGCATCTTTATTCACTTTTTTCCGCTGATGATTCCCCTTAGTGCGAGTTTGTTATTTCATCGTGAACGCACACCCAACGCATGAGACCGTTATTTGCGATAACAATTTTATCGTCGGTAATCATACGATTCGTATAGCCGTGTAATTACAATTCGTGAATGGCGAGATGGTCGCGTGGCCTTGGTGGGAAATGCAAAAGACGTCGATGGAAATTCGTAATTCATAGACGGGATGGAAAAAGATCCATGGATCCAAAACCAGTTCCGAGTTGAATATCGACAAATACCTCGCAAAAGTTCGTGCGAATGTGTACCGGTTTACGGTGCAACATTGCCACTTTGTACGCTGTAAAGACTATTATTAATGTAACGTGCTACGCTCGACGACTAATTTGCAAAATGAACGGTTGATGGCATTATTTTCGCGATGTTTACGAGCCAGTTCCAGCTTTTTTAACCATTAACAAAGACATTTGCGGCTAGAAAACTCTTCAGGCTTTCCTTTCTGAACAGTGTTTTTTTAAAGAATATTTGATCGCACATAATCAGCTACACGTTGCACACTTACACGATACTTTCGACAGTATGGAAATAATTAGGAGCATAGTATTGTTAATTTTTGTTCAATGTATTTCAACTCGTTTTAATAGAACATTTGTCATATCGTTTATTACTAGATTAATATTATTATTATTATTAGATCGCGAATACCACATGTATATGACGATATGTATATTTTCTGTTATTTAATCTAATTTAAGTTTTACATGAAAATTTTCCCATCTGTTTTAGAAATGATTTGCCTCAACGTTTTCTATCGATGTCAGAAACGTTTTTGCAACACGGACTTCGCTCGACTCCATTTAACTCACTTAAGTCGCAATGGTTATTAATTATGGCGAGCATTAATTGGACGGCATCTTGTGCATCCATCAGATCATCAGAAATTATGAATTCCAATTTCCTGTAGTAGTTCTATGATCTTTAAAACATTCTAAAGGAATTATAATTTTTAGTCACAGAACTAGAATTACGTGCAGGAATTTCGTTTCTCCAAGTACAGTATATATACATATGTCATATACACGCGTATCTATCACTCTCAATTTTTCTAGAAGAATAAGAAATATTCCAAGTTTTGTCCGACGTATGGCGTCGAAGATTGATTTTTCAATTTAAAATTGGTCAAAGTTGATCAAATCGATCATCGTGGGCAATGTCTGGTGGTGAAATGAATTTGCTGACAATTTACTTTCCGTGCATGCACGTTTCAAGTATTTGACTCACGCACCCTTCGAGCGAGCGAAAGGAAGAAGGAGGGACAGGACAAGCGCGCGACCAAGGGGAAAGACCAAATAGTTCTGTGAACATTGCATCCTCCGTCAATCGTCGGCTGCATGTCAATGAACTAGCATCGAACATTGGACAGAAATCGAGGACCAACTCTCGCTGACCATCGTGAGAAATCGAGTTTCTAGCGTAAATTTCTCGCACGTTTTGTATCGTGCCCAAGGAATGTCTTAATCACGATCAGAATTCGCAGTACCCTGCCTTCATTTGATTACACTACATAATAGGAGCAACGCGAGGTTTGTTCCACCTGGATAACTTCGATTTTTCTCTTATTTATTATACCACGAGCGTAGTATTACGATGAACTATCTCCTTTGTATCTTTGCATGTACGATTGATTGGATTCTTCAAATTATGAAAGTTTCTACATCTCAAAATGCCACGACGTAGAAATTAACTACACCATTGAAAGCTGATTGTGTTCTGCGATTTGGATAATGCACCGTGTCGACTGTTTCACCGTTTGCCGGCTTGTCATTATGGAAAACTTTGTCGTCGAGAAACAATAGGAATACAATGAGAGAAATTGGAACGCATCGAGCCGGCAATAAATGCCAATTTCGAAAAATGAGATGTCTCGGAACTTCCTCGAACTCATGCGTAAAGAAAACGTTTGAGACGAAAGGTCAACAAAACGATTATAGATTTTGATTAAAAGTATAAATTTAATTGTATATTTATTTATGTATTGGCTATTGGAGATCATTTTCTGCAATAGTAGGATTCTAAGTTAAGATCTTAAGTTTAGGATCGTCGATAGCCTCGATTTGAACAATTGCAATTTCTCGATAGATCTCGTTAGTTGCGACAACGAGAAATCTGCGAGTTAGCGCCGTGTAAAAGCTAGAAAAGGCGGCCTCCATAACGCGGAAATATACGCCGTGCATCATAAATAAGATTCAAATATCTCGAGTCTGCGCGCTGAAACTGCCTCCATTGAGCGCATTGTCATTGTAGTCTGATATATGTGCTATTTGTTCTCGTGAAAATTCGCTGTGCAACGAAATTCTCCGTCGTTCTCTCGATTCGAATAGATGTAATTGTAAGCGAAACTTCGCACGTGAAACTATGCACGATACGAGAAACTAGAAGAAATTGTGTTCACATCGAGCGAGTGAAAGAAATTGAATCCAGTTGGCCCTAAAAAAAGTAATTGTACGAAGTCACAGATTACAATGATTCGCGAACGATGTTTGAATCGTATCCGAAAGTTGAGGAGAAATTTAGCGAAACAAAAGTAATGAAAGCAAAGCTTCGCAGAGAGGTTTACCGACTGCGTGCGGCGAGGACTTGCGAGGGGGTGGCGCCTTCGGCAAAATTCACTGTAGAAGCGCAACCCTCTGGAGAGACGGAGTGGCGGAGGATCGACACGGTGGGGTGGTGGAACGAGAAACTCTTTCCGTGAAAGTGTCAGGGTGGATTGGCGCTGTCATATGGAAGCAAACGAGGCGCCGTGTTAGGCACTCTGGCCTGCACGGACGCCTTGCTGTGTGAAAAAAAGAAAAGTATTTTGGTGGAGAGGGGTTGGAAGCGGGCCGCGCGCTCAAACAGATCCTTATTAATTCGGTGAGTGTGATAGTTACGGAAAAAATTAGAAACGCGAGTGCGAAAGTGCACGCGTTAACCGCGACCCTAAATGGGTCAACCCAACCCAGCAACCTAACGTGTACTCGTTTCTTCTTGCGATTCACTGGCTGGCCTAGTTTCCTCGAGAGTGAGCGAGCGAAAAGATACGCGACCTCCGCTTGGTGAAAAACGACATCGAAAGTGTGCACTCTTCTTCACCTTTGATTCTCTCTGTTGGTTGTGACCGTGGTTGTCGACGTCGCCATCGTCGTCGCGGTTCATTCTGATCGAAAGTATACGCGAAATAAAAACCATGGGATTCTCGCCGGCTACGAAAATTCATTGAATGACACGCGAACGCGGTAGCGAGACAGATACAGATGATAAAGGGAAGCGGAGGTGAGAAGTCATGTTACATTTTCTCCTACACGCGGAAACCACAATTCAACAAATGCGGCCCATCGTATTGGGATGTCTTCCATTCGTGGAAATCGTTGCATCACGGATGAGTTGTGCGGGCTTTTGCCAGTAAATCAGCCGACACAATGCATCGGAAACGAGTCGTTGTGCTCGTGTTATGGTGTTTTCGTGTGTTACGGGTCGAGAACCACGCGTTCGTGATATGCAATTCGCGAGAAAGCTAACGAGTAACCACGGTACAACTCGCAGACACTTGTACGCGACCCTGAATTCAATTATCGATTCTCCGAGGAAAATACTCAACGGTGCAGTTTTGATGCACCGTCGCTAGTTACTCTGGCTAAACCAATAACATCTTTGCTATTTGTTTCGTCAAAGAGAGTATCGTGCTACGATGTGTATTTTGAATACATTTTCAAGGATTGATATAAAGTTAGTTGCATCGTTTAATAATGATTTGTTATTCGATGCAGTTATTTGATATCTGAGCGAAGATTCAATCCGGACACGTTGGATACATGTTGATTACCATCTTGTGCAAATAATCTGTGCGATTGTGAATTTAATAATTTACGTTCTTATTTTTATTATAGATCAGTAAGTGTTGATTGTATATAATAAAAATGGCGGCCAGTAAACCACCGGAAATGAATTACACGTGCGAAATTTGCGGCCTGGAAGGTTTTAATGACGAAGAAATGAGATCTCATATGGTTTTCTATCATCTTCAAGGAGCCGCAAATTGCCCCTTCTGCGATTTAGGTGAAATTTCGCCAACAGAAATGTTGACCCACGTTAACAGTGCCCATCTCGATTACTTAACACCAAGGTATATATATTGCAATTATATTTTCGTTTATATATGTTATTTTCTTTATAAATATTCTCTAAGTACACCATGAAGTGTTTAAACTATTTTGATTGCGAGAGAAATGGCGGCAAAAATGGGCCTTAGATGTCGCTATGATATACATTGTATACAAAGTTTGTGAATTCATAACGAAAATATTCACTTGCAGAGTATTTCTTTTTTTTCATACTTTGATTTATTTTATAATTAATTAAATCTTATTCGCTTTCAATATTCTTACTTTTATAGTTGTATTACACATGTATATAAACTTGGTTTTTACTAAACTTTTGTGATTGATTATTTGATTATGTATTGATTTCTACAGATTCAAATAAATTATGTGAAACATGATAAAAGACTGTAAATGGAAAAAAGAATGTGATATTGACCATAAAAAGTATAAAATACTTTTTACATATACATTTAATATATATATTCATGTATTTAGTAATAATAATTTATATTAATTATTACAGTACTCCAGAGAATGACATGATGGCATTCATTGATGATGATTCATTAGTGGATGATAGAAGAGATGATGAATGCCGTGGACCATGTCCTTCCCCAACCATGTCTCCAAGTCCTCCACTTCTTCAAAATGGTTGGAGTAGTTCATTTAGTGTTCCACGTGTTAAACAACAGCAAGAAGTACCAAAAGCGGAATCACAGATTCCTAGTGCGAATGTTAATAATAACAATAACAATAATAACATTGGAAATGTTAATAATGGTACTTAAGAATTAAATGAAACTTTAATATCCATAGCTAAAAAAGATATTGTAGGTAAATTAAATAAAAATCTCTTTCCAGTTATTGAAGGTGCAGCTGGGCATGGGTCTCCATTGCGTTCAGGCCTAAATTTACAACTACGTTCTCATGCTTCACCAAAACTTCCAGTTCAAGAATGTCCTATGTGTCCCTACAGTTCTGACAGTCCGTTAAGGCTAGAAGAGCATATCAACAGACAACATTTTGATCTCACTTCGCCGTCCTTTCCACCTGAATCTCCACCACCACGCGATGGTGTTTTTAACTGCCCTCTTTGCATCACATCTTTTCCAAATTCTTCTGATCTTGAATTACATGTTAATATAGAACACAAAGATATTTTGAGGTGAAATAGAATTTATATATATTGCATGTATAACAATTATGTATGAATTGTAGTCTACAGTTGATAATGTAGTATAATTTATATATTATATGTTTTATTTATTTTACACAGCCCTGCAAATGGCGCAGGTTCTCAATCAGCTCAAGCAACTATTGGTAGTGATACACCTGCATGTCCAGTTTGCTTCAGTACTTCATTTAAAAGCAGCGACGAATTAACTGCACATATTGAAGAACATTTCAGTAAAAAGTGCACTCCATCTCCTATAACTCCAGATTTGTCTACTGATAGAATGTTAGCAAAGGATATGGAAAGACTTGAGAAGGAGCTTAGAAAATTACGTGAACAACGTGAATTTGAAATGCTAAGGGCGCAATATGGAATGGACAATCAGGGGAATTTTAGAGAACAAAGCGTTACTAATATGCAGCGAGCTGTATATTCAGGGGAAATGACGATTGCCGATTATTATGAAAGACAGACCGAACTTAGAGTCGCTGAAAGTAGCGGCATCGATGATGGCAGCTCTTGTACACGCGGTAATTAACTTTCTTTGAGTATATTTATTTACAACGTTAAGAATGTTTTTTTATTCCTTTATCGATTCTGCATAGGATTAGTTCCCAAGATACGAGCTGTCAGTCAAGCATGTAGTAATGTATTAAGCACCTGGATGTGTTCTACTGTAGACCATTATGCTACTACTTATGGAGATAAAGGATGGGGATGTGGTTATAGAAATTTGCAAATGTTAATTTCGTCACTTTTACAACATACAGGGTACAATGAGTTAGTTTATAAAGCATGGAATTCTGGTCTGGGTAGCGGTAGTTCTGCCAAGATTCCACTACGAAGCTCTATACCGTCGATCTCTAGACTTCAGAAAATGATAGAATGGGCTTGGGCCCAAGGTTTTGATACTCAAGGAGCTGAACAATTGGGAGGAAAGTTAGTGAACACCAGAAAATGGATTGGCCCCACAGAAGTAGTCATATTATTGTCTAGTTTAAGAATAAAGTACGTTTTTTTCATTTATATGGTTATTATATCTTTTAGAATCATATTGTATAACATACTTCTATTGTAGATGCCAGCTGGTAGATTTTTATACACCAACTAATTCTGATGGCGGACATCCGGAAATGTTTAATTGGGTTTTACAATACTTCCAACGGTGCGATGATTTTAAGCCACCTCTTTATTTGCAGCATCAAGGTAGGAATTTAAAAGGGAGTTAGAAAAACAAGAATAGAAATAAGATTAAGAAAGAAATTAAATTTCATCGTTATTTTTAGGTCATAGTAGAACAATAATAGGAATAGAACAGTTAAGAGATGGTTCAATAACAATGTTAGTACTTGATCCAAGCCATAGTCCAGCACAAATGGCACAATTTAACAGTACAAGTAGTGCACTTGGTGCAATGCGTTTGGTACGCAAATCGATTGCAGCAATGAAAGCAAGACAGTATCAAGTCGTTGCTGTTACTGGTATCATGGAAACCGATTTAGAATATCATGTAAGCTTTTATATATTTACTTACTCTTATTTTTTCATTTATTATTATACAGATATGATTATTTATTATAAGAGCATTATTCTTCAAATTAAAATATATCTCTAATTTTAGGAAAGCAAAGTATTACGTTTGATTCGAGTGCCGCAAGATAGGTGAGATTTATTGGCTCGAAAAGAAATTAAATATTTTGGGAAGACGATAGACTGCCTCAAACCAATTTTATCCAGCATCCTTAAAGTTACATGACCGCAATGTTCTAGGTTTTATCATTAGGAGATTTGCTCCATCGTAGTAGTTGCAGAAGTATTATTTAACAATATATTCTTGCATATTTCCGCCATCATATGTCGGCTCCTCAAATTATGTGTATCTAAACCTGCGTCGTGATTCAGAATTTTTGGAAAATTGACCGACGAATCTATAAAAGTTGTAATTTCTAAAAAAAAAAAGGTGTCTATATGTCGCGCGTATTGATCTTTTTTAAATTCAGGATCGGCTCTGAAAATATTGTATTAGAATGTGTGCTTGAGAAAGAAAGTTACCGTCACGATGAATTTTAAAGACAAAATAAATTCGATCGCCATTTCTTGATCATAATGTTCTGCTCAATTTTCGTCGCACCGAACAGGCTGTGCTAATTTTTAGTCGACCAATCGTCCTATGCCGATCGGTTGCATCAGCGAAAAAAGCCATGGCAGAGCTTAAAAAATGAGACTCTTTCGTAGCTGTGATGCTGTTATCGATTTAATGCTAATCACCGATTCTAAATATTTTTGAAGACACTCCATGTGATCGAAATATTAAAGAAAGCATTGTCCGCGTTTTATTTTCTTTTTCACTTGTACTTTACATTTTTAATAAACGTTGTTGTCAAAATGTTGTCAATTTTTAGTCAATAAAAGTACCAATAACAATACATCGCAATGCTCGTGGCGATAACAAATTTTATATATACCGTTAAAGAAATTATTCTCTAATCAATTTTTATTATTGTTGTTGCTTTTACAAAGTTTTTGGGGTGTCTGCAAGAATAGATAATATATTTCCATACATTATATATACATTTATCTATATACATATACACATACTTGCACACACACTTCGTTATATTATACTTCATTCACTCATACATAAAGTACAACTACTTTCATACTACTTATGAATATTCTATTTAATTATTGAATTACTTTAAGGCTACCCATACCTTAATTTATAAGTCAAACACAATGTTGTGAGAGGAAATCAGAGAATGACATAGTACAGTCCATTAATTGGACATTGTACAACGAGTACATTGTATGACAAGTTGCATTGTTTTTATTATTACATTTATAATCATCAGCATTATTGTTATTATTATTACACTTATTGTATATTATAAATTATATTGATACACATGTGTACACATTTGTTATTTTCGAGATTTTAAAAATTATTGAAAAATTTGATGTTTGTTACTGTAAAACATATTTTAAGAGGAAAATGTATTATCATTTTATAGCTTTGGTAATTTAGTATTCATAAAATGCACTAATTGGGTGAAAATTTGTCTTTCTCCTCAGTAGGACTAGTAATCATTATGACTGACAGCAAAAATACAATTATTATTGATTATATTTTGTCATATTGCTCATTAAAAATATGTTCAACATTTTGGAATGTTCAAGCAAAACAAGCTATGGAATTGTTAAGCAAGTGTAAAGAAACTTCAAATTATTCACATGTCAAATTAAAATATATGCTTTGTTAGAATTCCCAATTTACGTGTGATTGTTTTATACCATTGAAGAAACAGAATATTTTTTTCACCTCAAAGCTTACATATTATATGTAAAGCTAAGAACATTGAAATAAGCAACACATTTGATACAAAATAATTTGTTTAATTCTAAAGTAAATACTTAATACATTAATATTGTTTTAAGAAATACTAAATTAATTAAACAAAGTAAATATTTACTTCATTTTTGTTACATAATAATTAATAATGTACAGATAATTTACATTCATATATTAAATCCTAGTGATCTCATGCAAGTTTTATGCGCTTCTATTAAATCTCTACAGTTTTCTTCACCTTTGAGGATAATGCTGAAAAAAAATTAATGTTTCTAAATACATGTAGTTGTTTCAAGATGAGGTTATGTGTTAATTCGAACAAAGTAGAAGTAACTCAACATTATAGATTCTGCTATGAATTAGATTTAAATTTTGGAACTTAATTAAGATATTTGAAATAAAAATATTGTTTCTTCAATATTTAAATATATATGCATACCAATCATCCCTTGCTTTCTTTGTCTCAGGACAAGCACAACAAGGTTTCAATGGTTTGTCAGATTTTGGTCCTGCATTTACGGTTTGACTTGGTTTGTCATTTATAATGCCCATTGTTATATATCGAGTACAATATTTCGTACTGTATCAAATGTTTTATAATTGTTTATGCGTTTAAGACCAATTGTAAGATCACTGGTAAAGCCATACTAGTTCCAGCGCCTCCACATTTATTTTCGCGAAATTCAAAGTATAGGCAATCATTTCTTCGTAAAATAACGTTAATAAGCAACGTTAGGATCTTAATGGGGATGATTGTATATACCAATACGCAATACATTTAATTATTTTTCATAATTATTCAAACAAGTTTATTTGTCCAAGTTAAATTAGTATAAAACAGTAATCTGTAAATGTAAAATTTTGGAGTTTATATTGTTCATATTATAAAAGCGTATGTATATAATATTCGTCTATTCGTCTGTTCGGTGTGAAAATATTGCAGAATTTCCAAGAATTCATTGTTTATATATTTTTTGTGAAATTTTGATTCAAGGTTTCTGTAATATGTTGACCAAGGTGTTTCTACTGCGCATAAAAATGTCTGTCTTCTGCGCAATTTTAGGTGGAAGGGGGAGTCAAGTCTTCCCATTCCATTAGTACTTTGGTGGCGTACGTGATCTGCGGGGCGTTATTGCGGTGCCGAATGTTGTTGTGTCAAGACGTACTTCTTTTCTTTAGGTATCTGACCTTGATACTTTTATAATTATTATTTTATTTTTTATACATTACAATTAACTTTATCTTCTTTATTTGTTGAATATTATTATAATTTGTAACTCTTAGTTAGTGACACAGTGTATTTAGTATCTATTTGGCGGTTACATTTGCCGGTAACGGTCAAAGTCAAAAGTTGATTTCGGATCGAGTTTAATCTCATTCATTTTGACTTCATTCGATCTTATTTCATTAATTGATGTTAATTTCATACATTTGTTTTAATATTTTGCTTTTCTTTTGTTCAGATCACCTGTTAATTACGAGAATATCTTCCAAACAACAGTGAGCAGATTTCACAAAATTGAAATGGATGCCATATTTGCAGATAAGATTTTTGATCGATATTTTTGACGATTAATTCAAAATATTCACATAATTAATACATAATATTACAAAATTACAAATAATTCCAGAATTTATTGAGAATACTAAGATGAAATTAGATAAAATTAAAGAAATAACTTTGAATATATCAAATTTCGAATTGCTTTATTATTAATATTAATTTGACATAGATTCTCTAAATTTTGTTTGATTTGAATAAGAAATCGAAATATTTTCACATCTTATTAACATTTATGCGAATTTTGTTTATTATTTTTAGTAATTTATACAATTTTCGAGAAAGGACGCTACTCGTTTGATTTGAATTCTGCGCATTTGAACTGCGCAGACAAGAAAAATGCGCCATATTTGAATAATGTAACGTACATTTGAAACCGTAATGGCGCGCATACAAAACTGCGCAGCAAGAAAAGAACGCCATATTGGAATAATATAACGTATATTTGAAACCGTAATGGCGGGCGTTCAGAACTGATTCTTTTGAAACAATTATATTATTATTACGATATTGGGTATTTTACAATATTAAGAAATATTTTACGATTCATAATAATATTTTAAATATACTAATTCAGTATCATGTTTCTTTATCTGTGTTAATTAATTAGTAATTTTTTAATAAAAGCAGTATTTTCTTAAACAAACACTCCTATCCTCTAATAAAGCTTTTCTTTCAGAGAATTTTTGTGACCGCGCGCAATGCGGTTGTTAGAGTCAGTGTTTGCTTCGTCATATTTTGAGTATTTTTTTAAAGTGCAGTGACTCTTATTAAATTTGATTATAATAATTATACGCGAAATTAGAGTCAGTGTGTTCACCGATCTTTACTTACACGGACTCGTTAACAGTCTTTTATTTTCTTTTTTTTTCTAAATATTCGCTTTCGGTAGTCACAAGTTTTGCAAGAGGATACAGCCTCTCCTGGAGCTTAAGAATGTAAGTATTTTTGTATATTGTACTCCAATCTATTTGTTCCAACTATTATTACTTTCTATTTCATATTAAAGTTTCAACTTTTACAGTAATTAAATATTATTAAAATCTCAATTGTTATTATTATTAAAATTTCAAATTTGAATGGAGTTTCATTTTCATTATTTTAAACTTTTTTAAACAATTAACGTTTGTTAACATAAATTATAATATTTTGTACGTTTTGTTGAAGGTTTCTCACAATTTCCATATTTTCCTGCTCTTCAGGAAGGATGCAGCAGTGCTTCAAAACTAAACATGTGAGTACTTTTATATTGCAATTAATTCTCTTTTTTGTACTTTGCTTTAATTATTATTATTTCAAAATAAAGTTTGTTTTTAAATATTTATATTAGTTCTAATTATTGTAATAATTAAAGTTTATTATAGTTTTCATAATTTTTATCTCAAATTTTTTGAAGTATTATCACTATGTTTTTTAGAATACATAAATTATAATCATTCTTATTTTGTTAAAGGTTTGTCATTCCTTCCTCCTCTACCTGTTCCCTGGAAAGGATTTAAAGGTGCCTCAAAAGCCAAGAATGTAAGTAACTTTGGAATTTAATTTCTTATTTTTTACATTAATTATTATTAATTCATAAATTGTTCAAATTTTTTATTTTTAAATTGAATATTATTGTTATAATTTTATGTATAATATCCAATATTTTTTTACACATTTACAGATTCCTTGCAGTCTTCACTCTTTTTTGATGAAATTCCAAGATTTGATGACAGACTTCATGATGATTGTGGAGGCATAGCATAATCAATGACAATTTTATTTGCATCTAATCGTGAGTCGCATGCTTTTTTTGTTCCTCTGGTCATTCAGTCATGTCGTAGGATGAAAGATCCGAATCGACACGGATGACTGGTTGTATTACGTAGAATTTTTAACGAGCATAGTGACCACGGGTATTTATTATACTCGTGAGTAGTAACATTTTCTTATTTATGGTTTATTTACTAGTTCAGGATAGGTTTCCTTGCACATCGCGTTTTTGAATATTAATAATACAATAATATCTAATATGAATATAATACTGATATATATTACTATACATAATATTACTATAATTGAAGATCATAGAGCAAATAAATATTCATTGTAATTATTTGTAAAATCAAATAGTATTCAATATAATTGTTTGTAAAAATAAAATATCAATTGGAGATAGAGATAAAATATCAATACAAATATCTTTATATACAATCTATGTGAATAAATAAAATATGTATAAATATTCATTGTAATCCAATAAATGATGAATGTTACAATTATACAATTTAAATATATTGTAGTGGAGAAGTCGGATACCATCCGACTTCGTTACTGTGAGCATTGCAATTATTAATTGAAGTTATTAATGATAATACATTTTATAGTTGCTTAATTACAAATAACATTTAATTGTAATTCGCAGTTTATGATAATATTGAAGTAGATTATTTCTGCATTCAATATGATTTCAATATAATTTGAAATATAAAATTTGAAATTGAATATTTTATTCGTCCAAGAATGTATCAAGTTTTATGTGCAAGAAAACACTTCGCGACAGGCAGATTTTAGTATCAAAGCAATGATTTTGAACTTTTCTTATGTGTTTTCAAAAATGTGCTTTGATTCGAGGATCGCCTGAGGATATTTTTATCAATATTCTATTTAAAGTCCAATATTACTCATTCATTATTATATTATTTGCATTGAATCTTTGTTTCTTTTTAAATAAATTTATTCATTGTTGATTACTTTTACTCAAATGCAGCATTTCAGTAATTTATTAAATTACTAAAAGTAAATTATAAAGTGAAGTCATTGAAAGTTGAAATAAGATGAGAAAATGCAGCACCAAAACAATATTAGTCCGTTATAATTATATTAAATATGTTAATCCTATTTTTAATTTAGGATTTTCAGGTTTAACCCTTTCCATGTTTATTGGCAGGATCTCACTCACGTGCTCAGGTGCTACGTGGGTGGGAGAAAGCCATTGGGCATGATGACTATAGTTTATAAGTTTAATAATTTTTTAGCGACTGATGGTGCGTTAATGAATCGTGCGCGACGTATTTTTCACATTGTATGTGTGGTTAGGCTGTGAAATTGCGTCGTTTGTCTTATGATATATCATTAAATTTTGTACCAATTATTCCAATAATATTCAGATAATGTACATATTGTAAATATTTGTACAACAGAATCGTAAATACGTATTTAACTCAAATTGAAATCGAAATATATTTAATTCAAAGGTATCTGTAGGTACTTTTATTATATCGAAATATATTTAATTCAAAGGAAATCTGTAGGTACTTTTATTACATTTTACGCAATGGTCATTAGCCTTCATCAGTCGATTTCAGGAAAATGGTACGTAAACTAGAGTGTGAATGTTGCGTGCGACACTCGGGTGTCGGAGGTGTCCCGGGACGTCCTCCCTAGTTTAGGTTGCGCCCGGGTGTATGTGTGAGAACCGTGGAGAGAGTGTGTTGGTGTGCCTGTTCTTTTGCCATCTTTTAAATATAGGGTCCCTGAATAGGATAGGTAGCTTACTTCTGGTGTGAATGTGTTTAATTATAAGTAGGTAGGGCCGGGCAGGTTGGCACAGTCTCTGGTCGCGTGTCCCTTTTTCGCGTGTCCAACCTGTTTCTGGAAATCTAATTTGAAAAATCGAAAGTGAAATTGGTACAAATTGAGCATGTCATTTGTTTCTGGTTTTACTCTTCAATTTTTCGAATTTAGTATCGCGGTCGCGGTCGCGGATAGGTCGCGAGTAGGTCCCGAAACGAACGTTTATGTAGGTATTGCNCTGTTTAGGATAGGTAGCTTACTTTCTGGTGTGAATGTGTTTAATTATAAGTAGGTAGGGCCGGGCAGGTTGGCACAGTCTGTGGTCGCGTGTTCCTTTTTCGCGTGTCCAACCTGTTTCAGGAAATCTAATTTGAAAAATCGACAGTGAAATTGGTACAAATTGAGCATGCCATTTGTTTCTGGTTTTATTCTTCGATTTTTCGAATTTAGTATCGCGGTCGCGTTCGCGGATAGGTCGCGAGTAGGTCCCGAAACGAACGTTTATGTAGGTATTGCTCGAGCACGCACGTGCGAACGGACAACGATCACTATGATCGATGGTCGTCCATGTGTATTGG